TGGTTTCTTAATTATTTATGAAGGGGTCTTTTAACAACGGTAATTTTTCCATTAATGGCAAGTAAGGATTTCATTATCTCTAACTACACTGCCTTTTTGTTCTATGCCACAGCAAATATCAAATTTTATTCTTTCTACAGCTATAATATACGGAGGAATTTCAACTCTGTAAAGTAATTATTCTTTGCTGTCTGCCTGGGAATACAAGTGTAGGTCATCTTATTTTTGGTTTCTTAATCACAAGAAGGTGTATCATTTTTCAGAGGACTTATTGGGCAGGGGCCTCTGCTATTTCAGGCAGCACAGGGAGCCTGGAAGGGGGGACTGGGCAGTGCACTCAACATCCCCAGTGCAGCCACTGGGACTGGTCAGCTCAGCCAGGGACTGTGCCCACAGGCATACATCGGACAGCTGTTGATATTGCTTTCAACAGAAAATATCAAAAAATAGGCTGGAATTGCTACAGACCTGCAGGTGCACAGATGAGGTGCTCTCGGGTGACAGGAGAGTTTCTCCTGGTAAAGTCCAGCCTCCACGTCATCCGCACTCTGCAGGCATTGCATCAGAGGGCTTGCTCCCCAGCCAGCACGACTGTTTTCATAATAATAAATTATAACTTGGCACTTTTGTAGCACTCTCCAGTTCAAAGCTGTGCTGAAACATTATCTAATTAATTCTCACAATAGCCCTGGAAGGCAAGAAATGGAGGTAGTGAGCTAATGTACTTGCCCAATGACAAACAATGAGTCAGTGGGAGAGTGGGAGTAACACTCAAGGGCCCTTGATGTTTAGATCTGAGACAGCATCCTTCTTTTCATAAAAGCATTTTAGTGATTTACAAGACAGACCCCATATATTTAATTACAATTATATCCAACTACTCCAAATTAATAGATTAAAAGGGGAGAGAAAACATTAGCCTAGTTAGCACCAAGAAGAAATCACATGCTTTGCACATCAGTAAAACATTAACCGAAGCAATTAAAAGGTACAAATATGTGGTATAAGCAGAGTTGGCAAACCCCCATGGGAGGGCTTCCAGCTGCAAGGCTGGGCACAGGCTGGCGGGTCCTGCCCTCCTCTGCCCTCCCAGGGGCTGCGTGCTCCTACGGCACCAAAGCCACCAACCCATCCCCACCGCAGGGCACAGGGCCGTTTGCCTTGCCCCATAGAGGCAGAGATGCCTCTTGCTGCCCAGCAGCAAACCCGAGGGACCTGCAGAGATGCAGCTCAGTGTTTCACTGAAGCAGGCAAAGAGTGGCAGTAATATTGTATGAGAAATAAATGCAAAACTCTAGGGGGCAAGGGGAGCAAGTAAAGAGTCTTAAAATGTCACTGGCACTGTAATGGTACCAAAGCAGATATCACAGCAAGAAGCAGCAATAAAAAAGGCAGGGATTTATTAAGAGAAACTGTCAGTACAGGAGATAATGGGCAATTAGAATCGGTATTTCATAAACTCATATCAACAGTAGAAATATTTGAATCAAATATATTGCTGGCATGAGGAAAAGGTATGTTCAGAGATTTCATACAAACTGAAATATAATTCCAGGGGTCCATTAATCAGCTGGAACAACTTCTGTAACAATGCAATTTTATTAAAATGTTCAGCAGTTACAGAGTGAAAAGAGCCACTGAAGCTAATTAACCTAGGAACAATTCTTTAGTGGTACTCAGGAGTATCCGACTGAAATTGAGAGGGGAAAAAGAAAGGAAAGTCACTGTTGCATTAAAATGCAGGTAATGGAAAATAAACTGAAGCAGGGTCAAAAATAATTGTGACTTCTATGCAAGCACATATTCAAGGAGAATGCTGATTGTATATGTAGGGACTTTACCACCTTCCGAGGGTTGTTGAAAGGGAGAAACCTAGATTTGAAAAATACGTGTAAAAAAGAAAACAAATTCACTGATGCTGTGAATTAAGTTGTTTATTAATGCAGGATGTCTCATAAGAAGTAGATCAAACTAAAATAACGATGTGGCACTTTCTTTTTCAGACAAACAATTATTTAATCAGAAACTTGTATTTGAAAAATAGCCTCTCTTCAGAACAGAATATGGGATTATGGAAATTTTCCACGCGGCAGCAATCCAGCAGATAGTGCACCTTCAGCTCTTGGGCTTTTCTTTCTTATTCTTATTTTCCCAGGGAATTTTTTTTCAAAATTTGGAATAGGTTTGTTCTTTTGTTCTGGCCTTGCCATAGCAATACCCAGCTTCTGGAGGCTTTCCAAGGAAATTGGTGAACAGTGGATTGCTGTGTGTTGCTGTTTTATTGACCAAATGGCTCTCAATAATTAGCGTGATGGGAAAAGTACCAATAAAACTTTCATTATAAATCTTTGTTTTCCTCCACGATTTAGGGTCAAATAATAGAGGCATGCACAAGCAGTGCACTGTTTTTAGCATCAGCAGTCATGAAAACCATGGCACGTACGTAAGATTTTTCTCGAGCAGCTCATTTTTCTGTCCTTCACTAACCTTTTTCTCTTATGGTAATGGATTATTTTTTATGGAAAGCACTTTGTAGCATGCAGGGTCAAAGTTTTCCATCTCTCCCTCCCTCCCCTTGGGTCTGCATTTCAGTCGGAAAATCGCTGCTCTCTCAGCCAAGTGAGAGCGTTTTCCTCCCTGCTCTCCCTGTAGGATGGGGCCTATCCTGAACGCATAGACCCTGTTTGCTCTGCTACACCCAGCACAGCCTCATTGTGCCTCTTCCCACATCTCTTTGCCCAGTGCCCCAGCCTGCTCCACAGCTTCCCAAGGAGTGGGCCACACGACCTGGAGCTGCAGTAGCACAGAGGCTACCACTGGCCAGGCATCTGCCTTACATGGGCACAGACTTTGCGTGACCCCATGTAAGGGTCTGCCCTTATAGATGTTGTCAAAAACTCCAACCCCGGACTTGCAGTCCCCTACCCCCAGCTGATAGAACACAGCTGGGCAAGAGACTGGCACCCAGCCCTGGCACCTCTGGGCTGCCCCAAGTGACCAACTGTGTGTCAGGGCTTGGGGGAGAGCAGCAGCCCCCCCAGTAAAGCACAGCATGATTGCATGCACTGTGCATGCTACAGACAAAAGCCTGTGTTCAACAATCCCCCAGGAAATTAGCATTAATTAGCAGGGTGCTGCAATCCTGCAAGCTACTGCCATTTATCCCACTAATGTCATCTCTGCACTACAGAAGCTCTTAAGATTTCTGACATTAAAACTATTACCAGCCTCAAACAAAATGTAATTGATATTCTTTCCTAAGTGGAAAAAGTACTGGAGAATATTATTCAGCATTATTATTAGGTAGCGCTAAAACAAATAGCAAAGGCTGAAAAGACCACTGTATTTAGCAATCTGCTTTATTTTTATAGATGCAGTAAAAGCCCCATGACTTACAGTTTTAGTTCTAAGGAGAATGTTCTCACTGGAGAAAAAAAATGAAAAAATGACAAAAGCATGTATTAGATGCTTCACAACTCTGGGAATGCAGCTGCAGACTTCCAACTTTCCCTCCCTCCTTTGAATCAAAGCTTCACGGGCAGGGCTGGGGAGGCAGCAAGCAGCAGAAGAGGCAGCCTGCACTGCAGGCAAGAGATTCACTTGCACACCTCCGCTACCCTGCACAGGCAACCCTGTTTCTCTGTCTAAGGAGACCTTCTGCCTGCCAGTACTACATATCAGCTTTTTTCCTTGCATCAGCACCGAGAGGTGACCGGGAAGAGAACAGAAATGAATCAAATCAAAGTCCTGTGCTCTGGATGCTGCTAGAGATGAGTGAGGCTCTTTGACACTGTTGCTCATGCATTTGTGCTGCTGGCCACTGCAGTCTTTGTTTCCAACTGTAGAGTGATATAATAGTAAACATACACACCACTCACTCAAAACATTCACTTTCACCCAAACGGCATGGATACTTACAACTGGGATGGAGGCAGCTGGACAGAGAGGTCGCCAGGAGCATGGACACTGTTGGACTGTGACCTGCAATCAGATGTTTTTGCTCTTCACTGACTTAAAAGGCATTTTCCCTGCAGACTTGCTCGTGTCTTAAAGCTGCCAGCATTGTACCAGCAGTCTCCTGAGCATGGAGTGTGCATGGCAACACAGATTAACTGCTGAAATTATGAGGAACTCTTCATTTACTGCCTCTTCTACAAAAGCTCGCAGCCCTAATAACACAGAAGCACTGACAAACCTGTTATGCTCTGCCAAAGCCAACTAGTACTTCTGTAGTGCTTTTCACCACAGAGGGTTTGCTTATTGATCCCAGGTGAGGACTGGCTCCTGAGCTTTCAGTACAGCACAGCTCTAATAAGCAGACTGAGCCCCCTCTGCAACAATGGTGCTTCCTCCAGTGCCAACATAGGGTAAAATACATCTTTGTATTACCTTCAAAGTCAAGTAAAACCAAACCTTCAGCAACAAAAAGTATTTATTGTGCTCAAGCAGAAGATGCATTCCAGCAGCGAGTGTGTACTGAAGCTACTTAGAAAACTTTGTTTCTATATGTAAAGATCCACCACCTATAATAAACTGGAAATGCATGCAATATACAAGAGATGTATGCTCCATTTCCATCATCTGCAGTGAGCTGGTTATTGGTCTGACTGACACATTCTGGGAACAAAACTACTTTTGGTAGTGATTTTCCTGGTGTTCTCAGTAGGGTGAAATAAATTAAAGAAGGTCCAGATTTAACATGTGTTGGAGAAGAGGCTGTGCATAACCTACTGCACTGGTTCCTCCCCCAGGTCCAAGTCTCCTGTGTCCCGGAGGTGGGGGCTCCTTGTTTTTACTGAAGATGTGCTGGCTGCTGGGTCTTACTCCTGTTCCACATACTGTGGGACAGCCTGCTGACCGACAGCCTGCCACACTAGGAAGACGAGGAGGTGAATCACACAAAGAAACAGTGGAAAAGAAGCAAAATGCCAGGGATGATTAGCAGCTAACATTCTGAAGACACTTCTATGGGGTACAATAACACTGCCAAATACACGTTATCCAAGAGTTTTAACACAATTTATTTTATGCTTAAATAATCAACTAGATCATCCAGTGTTTGTTGTTTTCATACATATGTAATTAGAGCTATTATCAATGAATGCTGTTTCCATATGAATATAATCAACAAATTAAAGTATTTCACCAAAACCCAAATAAAAATGCCCTTTAAAACACAGCAGCCTTAACAACCTAATATTACACTGCTAGGATGATTACAGATGATTGGCTTACTGAAAGATTCTACATCTTATAGCCAGTACACAATACAGTAATAATTTTACAGCGTGCTGCCAGTCTATTAGCTAATAATTTCTCTTCAGTTCATTTAAAAATATCCCAAACTTGTGCCCGCTGGAGCACCAACCCACTTCTAAAGCTGCAAGCAGTACCCCCGTTATAAAGCGAGAACAGATAGCACCCCCCTCCCCATAATGCAACTACTGTATATGTTATGGTTTTTAGGTCATTTCATTGAAAAATTGGCAACAGCAACAAATATTAGATGAAGGGCTTTGTGTTTACAGATAAAATCTTATTTTTCATGTTGCAGTATAGTGTTTGCAAAACTGGAAAAGATTTAATCAAAATAAGGTGAAACACATGCATCAAAATATTAGTACTCTGAAGAAAAATTTTCACAGAACTACAGAATTCCTCATTTTGGGAATCATTTAAATTTGCAGCAGATTTTAAAGATTTTTTTAAAATCAAGCTAGCGTTTTTGCATATACAAACATTATAATTGCTAATATACAAGAATCTGTGAAGATACACTCAGAATATCCCTGTAGGTGTAGCTGCTTGAGACACCTAGCCTGCTCAATGCATTTGCAGTATTCTGTTTGTGATCGAAAAGGCAGTGCCTTATCAACATTTATTCTATTTTGTTAGAATTTATACAGTGTTATTTATTTACAGCAAAACTATCGATGTTTAAAAAAGAAACAACTAGTGTTTTATACCCTGACAGTTTGGGTCCGAGAAAAATAAGGCGAGCTGTTGTGGATTTTAGTAATTTTAGTGTCTTTCCATGGTTTAACCATTTCGTCTTCGTACATCCCCTCTAGCCACAGGAATTTATTTCTTTTGTGATGACATCAAACTGCTTGAAATAAGCTGTTAACAGCATGACATCTTGTATATACACTGCATTGTTAACTGCGCACTCTCCAATCCCGTGAATGAAAGTGAATTTCCATGCTCTGTAAATTGGCTCATGCTAAATTAACTTTTTGTTTCTTTGTTTTGTTTTTGCTTTTGCATAAAAACCATGCGGTTAATGTGTGGAAGCAGCAAACACACGCACACTTTTATAGGTGAATGTTTAATTCCTGTTGATTTTTCTTCTGTGACTGTCCCTCTGGAATACTGGCAGTAAAAGCACACGGTCCTACGGAAAGGAAAGAAAGCACAGAGTCATTTCAGAATATCTCGTTAGAATCAATTTCATGCCTTTCCCTGACTAAACATAATAGTTTTAATTGACATTATGGGATCCTGTAATGGGCTAAATCATACAGTTTCTAGGTATGTAATGAAATTAGTTGAGCTCCTAGCACGAAGGGAAAATGCATCATTTACAGACACCCACGTTGCTCATGAGCTGATTTACAAATATGTTTGCAAGACACTGCATTTCATCACCTCTAAGTAACAGCTCTTCAGTAAGGATTACAAGAAATTTATGCTCACTATGATGGAAGATATGATGAAGCACTGTCTCCAGAATGACACAACGGCTTCCTTCACAACACACTTCTGTTTGTTATTTAATAATATCCAACCGCTCATATTGGTCTAAAACCTGCACTCCTTGCACATCCACCTCTCTGCCTCTTGGGGAATGTGACCATAAGAGCCAGGAATGCAGAGGGAAGCCCTCATGAGGCTTCACAGAGGACAAAGTAAGGAAGAAGAGCTGCTGCGCAACATCTTCCACCTGGCTCATGTGAGCAGCACAGACTTGTTTACTAATCAGGTCACAGGTCCATGTGCATTCTCTGGGAGCATCTGCACTCTGCTATGCTAAAACAATGTGTCCTCGCCCACACCTATGGCTGACATAAATCTATGCTGTAGCTAAAAGCTGTGTATTCACAATGCAGCAGCCAGACTCGCTTGCACAGTGCTTGGTGGAAACCTGTCCTGCACTTCTGCAGAGCTTCATGCAAAATGTTGTGGCTTTTCCTTTAAACTTGCATTTTGCAGTGGGTTTATCTGCAATGGTGACAAAGCTTTTTTTTTTTTTTTTTTTTTTTTTTTTGCAGCAAAATACGTGATTTTTTTCCCCAAAAAAACATTTAAAAGAAAAGCAGCAGATCTGATCCCCAGAGAGGACTTTTTGTCTTTTGTGACAAAGAAACCATTGGGCTATCAGAATTCCTGTTCTGTGAAAATTCATCCACTTCCATGTTCAAATGGAACTTCTACAATAGATACCTGGCTGGGCTTAAGTAAATGATTACTTAAAGCACCTCTGCTTGGTGCTATCCCATAAAGCCCTCACCAAGATCCCACACACTGAGTCACTGCAATCACAAATGGCACTCAGCACACACTCGGAAATCCAGTACTGTCATGTGGCTTTAGGAGGACATATTGCAATGGATGGAAGGGACTAATGGCTCAAGAGACTCTGCTTCTGTTCTTTACCTCCACACCATTTGGTATGTTCAACAGGTCCTGTTTATTCTGTTCATTAACCCTGCAGTCAATCCTTTATGAAAATGATAACACAAACTTCCACTTCTTAAACTCCTCTGCCCACTTCCTAAAAGCCACCAAAGCTAAGAAAAATTCTGAGTGGAAAAAAGACAAACACAGTAAATACACACTCAGTGTGATTACAGCTATAGACAAAGCATCTTCTGGCTTCACGGGATCCTGCACTCTGTTGCAATAGTGTCAGCCTGTGGCATTTGTTTTCACTTTGGGAAGCCCTTGTACTGCCAGCTGCTTTTTTGTTACAATCATTTAGGTTGCATCAATAAAATCTACAAGACACATCTGGTAAGGATTCTTTGTTGGAAAATATCTAGACACTTCACTGGCTTTCACAAGGTCACTGACATGCATGACTGCCTGTAGACCACAGGTTCAGCTGTGGAAGAAGTCCTTCCCTTCCAGAACATCTACTTGTACACACAGCTCTACAACTGCTGGCATTTAAGTCCACCCTTAGGAGTAGAACATACTGTGGATTATAAACTACTCTTTGTGAAACTACAAATTCTTACACATGACGCAGTTTTGCTTTGCTTATGTTCCGATAGATAAAGCTCAGTTTCTGTACGTGAACTCAAGGTCATATTCTCCTTACACGACAGAGGGTCATCTCCTCAGCTTTGCAGCTTGAAAGCAATGCCAGGAAGCAAAAAGCAAGCCTTTACTCTGTGCTCAAGTGCTAGTTCCTTGCGGTGCTGTGCAAAAGGCTTCACAAGGAAAGAAAACTGATAAAACTGACCGGTCAGTGGTTGGCTTTCAGCTTTCACGAGTAACTTTTCTTCTCCACATGTCTGACTTCTTTCTTCGTCTTAACCTTGTAAGCTTCGCCCTGCTTTGAAGGAAAAGTATAAACATTAACACAGCCTGTGGAGAGCACTCACAATTATAAACCTACTTACAAACCAGCCTCCACATTTTGCTGCAACAGGATAAGTAAAAAGCAGTTAAATCACATTAATGCTTCATTTCAAAGATACACACAATATGTTTATCCACTCTGCTGAGCTGCAAAAGCACAGGCCTGAAATATCATCTTCAAGTAGATAACACAGATCTACAATTTGGGAATGAGCACCTGGGCTGGAGCATCTGGGCTGAGCCCCTGCCAGCAGCTGCAGCCGGATTTGCCACCATCATCAGGGAAAAAATCAGTCTCCAGTCAGTGTCCTGGGCCAGGGTCAGTGGGCATTTCTTAGAGCGCAGGGCATGGCTGCTGTTGTGATGTTTCAAAATGTCTGTGCTTTAATGTGAGCAGGTTAGTAATGGAATAAAGAAAACAGGATGAAAGCAGCAAAAACCATCCCCAAAGCAGAGCGGAAGTAAAACCAATGGTAGTGACAAGCAGTGCAGGTTTTTGGTGTCTTTTAAACAGCAAACACCAAAATCAGAAGTTCATTGCGCTCATTAAAAATAGCTCAATAGTCATCTAAAAATAAATACTCCAGTAATCACAAGCCTCATTCACATCAGAGAATGTATCTGTTTATGTGTGGCTATCGGCAGAATTTACCCCTTGGCTGGTCTGCATTGATTTATCTGTAACTATTTGTAGTTTCTGAGTACTCTAATCCGGTGCAGCATAATTGTCCTTTGCTGGGCAGAACTAATACTTTCCCTGATAAAGGACAGAGAAAGAGAGGATGGAGATACATATTTTTTTCATCTCTCTTCTATTTCTGTGCTTCCTACCTGGCTTTTTAGTCTTCATTATTAGAAGAATAAGAGTAATTGTTCATATTTGTTATGTTTTTGAGTCTCCAATTCTGTCTTCACTCAAAAATTCCACTGACAATTTAACTGGAGCAACACCCTCCTCCACAGAGGGCTTCCAATTTTATCTGCAAGGGACAGAGCCCTGTCCTGATATTTGCTTATACAGGGTACTATTACATAGCTACGTTCATGCGACCCCACTGTCTAGCAAGGGGTTGTTGCACAGGTGAGTGAGAGGCTGGTAGGGACCAAGCTGGGGTTTACTCCTTTGGGCTGGTGAAAAACCAACACTGCACACCTATGGGTGTAAGGTACAACTCCAACAAGGGCTCAGCTTTACTCACAGACACTGCTTGTTTTGATGAAACACAAAAGGCCTTAAAGCTGTTTTAAACACGCTGCCTATTTCAAATAAACAGACTGTAATGCTTTTGTGTGGAAGGCATTTTGCACAGAGCAGAACTCTGTGAGGCCTCCTTGAAACATCCCCTAACAGGAAACAAAATGAAGAGAAATGCCTGCCCCAATGCATAACTTGTCAATAACTGCAAGCACTGCACTTTGCCAAGGCTTCTTGTTAAATGCAAACTTCCAGCCCTTTAGCAGCACTTTCTAGCAGCCAACACAACCCTCTGCATTTACTGTAATTTCCTGGCAGTCCCCATTCCATTACCATTTCACCAGCTTTCCTCTCATGTGGGATAACAACACGCCTTACTACTTTCCGGGTGATCTGTAGGAAGCAATACATGAAAAGTATCGATTTTTTTTTTTTCCTAGATTCTAAAGGGGGAAAGTATATTAAAAGAAGTTACTTGAATACAAAGACAGAGCAGTGATGTAATTCATGATTACTTTTCTTGTGATGACGTTGCCTTCTTCATCGGTAAACTGCTCCTCTGTTACAGATTCACCAGGAATGTTTTTTGCTTCCTCACCCTAAAGAACGTGTTATAAGATTAGCAATATAACCTATATTCTGCCAAACCCACACATATTTCCACACCAATCCAAGCAACAAGCACATGTTAGCTTCATCTTTATGTAACATTGCTTTACGTCACACAGATAACATGAAAGCCGCTGTAACTTAACATGCCAGTACCTGTGCATTTATTCCACAGAACTTGTCCTTAAAACGTGTAGGAAACACCTGGCACATTTCTATGATCTGCTAATTCATTACATGAAGCTCTGGGTAACAAACAGTCTGCTAGCCTGAGTCCTATGAGATGGCACTAAGTCAGGACAGTAAAATCTCTAAACAGACATCCATTAGCAGGAGGCTTTTCACAGCTTCTCAGTGCTCATTACACACAGAAACATGTTCTAACACCAAGTAAGGAAGGAGAAAAATTGGAATTTTAATGACAACTCTGCCTATAGCTTGCTAAGTGTCGGGTCTTAAACATGTACACAGAAGACAAGACTGCTCGGTATTTACAAAATGGAGAACAGTGAAAGATAACTTACATGAAACCTTTTCTGGCACAGTATCAGCGCCAACCTGTTGAGGAGTGCCAGCAGCCTGCTGCACAGCATACTGAAATTGACAGCACGCCATCCACCAGTTCTTGTAGCATCCACAATTTATGGGACCAGTATAAATAAATACTCTAACGGCTGTGCTAGGACCAAATACTACAACATGAATTGTTGCTGAAATTATAAATAAATGAAGTGACTTTGGAGTATAAGGCTAGCTAGCGACCTATGTTGCAGAGAAACACTGACAATTTTACCTCAAAAAATATGTTTCCAAATGCGGGTGCTGAAGTAAGCACTGCCTTTGAAGCTTCAGAAATATCCATCATCTGTGCTTAATTTGTATGAAACAAATATAATGTAGAATTATTTTCTGTAACTAGAAAACTGAGAAAGAAAATTGCTCTCTCTGTAACATCCAGTTTATATGTACTGTTTTCCATGCTTGGATCACAGTGAGAAGTACACAGCTGAAATTAATATGATTACCCATTTTGGTGCTGGGGAAACTGGGGCACACAGCAATACGACGCCATTATTTCGTTCATCTATCTTTATAACATTAGCAATCCTTACTTGCTGGCATGCCTATGAGAAACTACCACGTGCACCAACTACCCTTCCCAACAGGTGTAGGCTGCACTAAAATCAGTGTTCTCCCACCCGTAAGTGCAGCCCATAGGAAGGAAGCATTTTTGTCTGTGTTTGTGAGACTGTGGACAGATCTGGGCTCTCTCATCTAAAGGACTAAATCACATTCAGAAGTCAAGATTGAAGATGACTTGCTTTTTCTACCTGCTTAGAGCAAATCAGTAGCACTCAGATGGGCAGGGAATTCCTCCATTTTTTCCCCAGAAATCTTTAATTGGGGAAAAAAAAAAAAAAAAAAAAAAAAAAAGCCTTAAAACTTTTCTTCTCCCTTAATCCTCAACCCACCATGGGAAAAACAGTAACTATAGGAAAGAAATGGAAAACCTATTATACAAAGCATTTTATATCAATATTAACAGCAAAATAATGTTTGAATTGAGATTAATTCAAATAAACGTCAAACCTTGATAATGCTTTCAAGTATTAAGAAGCACCTGGCAAATATAATCCACGCTTACTGTTGCCTGTACACTATGTAGTTACCTTTATAAGCTCCTGGCACTGCTTTACAATGAGTAAATACAGTGAAGCCATGTTGATTTTTTTAAATTTTCTCTGCAAGTACAGCTTTTTTCAATATGCACCTTAAAGTGTTAGGTTTGTATGTTATTTCTGAGTGCTAGAACAAATAAACCTTCATTTTTGTTCACAAGCCATTAGCAGTCTTCTATAGACCGTGGTCTTACAATTTCCTTGATTTAAATATGTGACACCAGGCAAAAGCCACACAGAGGTCCTGAGGAGCTCAGTGAAACTGCCACCAACCACATCTCCAGCCACTATGTGTCATTACTCAAAAGTGCAGAATTTCTACTTATACAGAAAGCTGTGTTGAAATTATCATTTGATAATAAGTAATTAAAGGTTTAGACATATTTCCTTTTCCTGTGCTTTCACTGAATAGAGCGAAATGGTACAGCTCACAACTGCAGTACCTCAGAAGGCACTGCTGAAGGATGGGCAGCCTGTCCCCAGGGGACATCCCTGCCCTGGGATGCTTGGCTGCAGGGGCATGGCAGCAGTTTGGCAAGCAGACAGCACAACAAGCGGCTGCTGAAGCTCCTGGATGGAGTCTCACATGACAATTCATGTCCCAGAAGGGCTCTACGAAGGAGATCCTGGAAGGAGAAACTAAATACCTGCCTAAGTGCCAGTGTTACACTGTGCACAATGACTCAGTGAGCGGGCCCCATTGGAAGACAGCTCCTTCCTTCCTCATGAGCAAGAGAGCAGAAATGAAAATGGCATAGGGATGGCTGCTGCAGGCAGGGGCACCAATAGCTGTGTACAGACTTGGAGAAGTGAAACCTGTGGGGCTTCCTAGCTGCAATGAAATAAGGGAAAATACTGATTATGGAGACTTCACCGCTTAATGAGAAATGCTGCAGACACGAAGCTGGCTGCTCTGTTTCTTTCCTGGCCTCCCACCCGCGGGCTCAGAATCCCCAGTGGTTCCTGAGCAGTGAGGGATGGAACAGGAGAGAACAGTGGCTCAGACATCTCTCGCTGCCTGTGGTGCACAGAGGTACCAAGATTGTCCCTCTCATCAGGAGAGTCTCCAAAGCCACTGTGACAAAAAACAGAAACAGAACAACACAGCTCCGAACAAGGTCATCAGGCTACCCAGCACATCAAGGCTGTTAGCATGGACTGGCCCTCACTGTGATGATCAGGGCTGTTCCTTAACGCAAGACAGTGAAAGTGCATTCAATTTGAAAATGAAAAATGTATCGATACACTGAAAGACAAATGCAGTTTTAAAGGCATGGTGAATCTCAGTCTTTAAGTAGCTACTTGCTCTTTTTTGCACAATCTAAAGATAAATGCTGTAAATATTCAACAGTCAGTATGCACGAAAGCCAGCTTTCACAACTTTCTTTCATATGGGCAGTTAAACAAATAGCAGGAGGGCTTGCAATTGGCAGGAGGTAGATGTGATCTACTGATGTTTCTAATCCCACACATTTATAAAGTTACCCCAAACAGTAATCCCATACAGTTACAAAGACGGATGTTTGCTAGGAAAAAGAAATCCGTTACCCACTGGCAGTTTTACTTGTCAGCTCTCAGCACAGCTTTGTGTTAGAATGGCACATTAGATGACCTTGTCAACAAAAGCTGTTTTTAAACACAAAGCTGGTACATCTGCGTCATAGCTGAAGAATAAAATTATTTCTGCCGCATCATACTAATGCAGGCTTCGTTCTACCCTTGACCAGTCTAAATCACTGACACAATACCAAGAGCTTTAGAAAGGCAGGGAGAAAACCTAATACAGCCGTTTTTAGATGCTGGGTTGCATCTCTGAGACTAAACTGTACAAAGACTGCATGCTGTACCAGACCATGCCAGGAAGCTTTGTGGAGCACAGTCTTTAACTTCACTCTGCTTGCTGGAGTGCAGTCCTGCCAAAACTAGTTGGTATCCTCTCTGCTGCTCTCCAGGGTAGGAGAACGAAGGAGCAGCTTCTGCAGCATCTCCTGCCAATTCCACTGATTTTCTTAACTGTTATTTGCAGATTATGGGTGTTCCCAGGGACTGCCAGATAAATGCAGGAGTTGGTGCTGCAGCACTGTGCCAAAGTTCACTGCAGCTTTCTCTGAGTTCTGGTTTTCTTTCATGTTTGTTTTGTTACTGAGGGATAATAGCCCTTTTATTCCTCTTTTATTCCTCCTATATAGCTAGTGCTGTTGTAGCAGTGAAGGAAGAAGGTGTGGCTGGATGTCTGTTACCCAGAAGGATAAAAAGGAATTTAAAAGCAGATGGAAATAAACGAGATGGAAAGATCCTAAATATTTAATTTTGCCAATGACCGGGGGCAATGCTGTGATGGGAACAGGAGTGGTACAGAGCACTGAGATCTCTTCCCCTTCTGGCCTAAGCCACTATCCAGACATAATCCTTTCAGTCTTGACATTGCATTCTTATAATGCATAACCAGCAGCTGCACCTCTTTCTCCTTGAAGTCTGAAGCTTCTGTGGCAGTAGAAACAAACATCTTTCATTAAGGTCATTTTCATTAGTGAGTTCTGCCTACTCAGGGAGACTTCGTTAATCACATGCCACAACTGTCCGCGTGTGCCTGTGCTGAGTTTGTACTTGCTTGCCTGAAGATGTATTGCTAAGGCACTGGGGGGGAACCAGCAGGCAAGCCAAGGAGAGCAGAAAGGAAACGGTGCTGCAAATGGCACTGAGCATAGCAGCCCAACACTGAGCCAGGTCAGAGCTCTGTTACTTGTTTGTACCTTGTGCCTCTTGTAACAGGTCTCTCAACAGAACTCTGTAGCCTGTGTTCTAATTCACATATACTGTCCCAGTGCAGCCAGCAGCTCCCAGTTGCCAGTCTCTCCTGGTGAAATGGGTGTGGGATGTTCACAGAGCAGAGCACAGCCCTTCTGCAGTTCTTTCAGCCTGGATGTAACTAACTGCTGCTCAGGAGCCTTGTTGGTCATTCCAGGGAAAGTCTCCTCGGTCACTACTGGGGAACTTAATGGGCAAAATGCATGGCAAGAGGAAAATCTCTATCAGAAAATGGTAAAAAATAACAAGATATACGATAACATCAGATTTAAACAACTCCTGCTTAGAAGTTTGTTTTATTTTCCACTACAAAATTCTACCATAAACTTTTTGGCAAGAATCTAACTAAACAGTTTTTGCCAAACATTTGTACCCATGAAGGATTTAACAATCTCTGAAAAAGCATGAGAAATTAGACACTGATTTCTGGCATGATGGAATAAAAAGAGCTTTGGCTCAGGCTCTGAAAGTGCACATTGTGGAAGCACTCTTATTTTTCCCTTGTGTGCTAATTGCTCGCATTCCTTCACTATTATAAAAAACTATTTCTTTTGCAATGCTCTGTCCCATCAATCCGCCATGTGAACAGAGCGAAAGGAAGCAAAACCAAAAACATCTGCACTACCTTGAGGTTAAAATACAATCTTATTACATGTGGAAATGGGCATCAGCCCCTGCTTGTCTGGTTTTATGGGCTCAGCTCTCTGAAGTGCTAAATCCCATGGGAATGTGCTCGAGAGCACTTGACAGGACCCAGCTCTCAGACCTCTGGGAAAATACCTCTGGGGACAGGAAAGACTTTTACATATTTGGGCCAGGAGAGAGGACTAAGGTAGCAGTTAAACGGAAATAATAATGTTAGCAATAATGTGGAATGGCACTGAAATGAAAAACAAGTTGAGAAAGAAGAACAAAGGCAATGAAGCAATTCAGTCCTGACAGTAACCATGGAGGCACATTGCAAATTTCTTTTTTCCACAGGAGTCAATTTATCCCCAAGGTTTAGGTGTTACAAAACTTCACTCCTGCAGGCTACATGAGTATTTCTGCTGCTTTTAATGCAGCACGGAGGCATTGATGAACACAGACTACAGCAGAACACTGATCCCACGTGCAGCTCTGCCCAGGTGCACCTTCCTCTTTGTCCCTTTGCTGCAGTTGGCACAAGGCAAGTGAGCTTGCGGCATGGGCACAAGCACTGCCATAGAATTATGCAGCCCTTACCCAGGCTCTGCAGATGTTCAAAATATTTTTTATTCCAGGGATGACATTCTCAACACAGCCTGCCAGGGCTGGCTCCACCACATCTCTAACGTCAGACAGTGCAGGATAAGTGCTCCCATGGTTCAGGCATAACTGCCAAAAAGCACAGAATCATTTGAGTTGGAAGGAATCCTTAAAGGTCACCTAGCCCATCTCCCCTGCAATGAACAGGGATACCTACAGCTCCATCAGGTGCTCAGAGCCCGGTCCAGTCTAACCTTGAGTGTCTCCAAGAACTGGGGAATCCACCACTTCTCTGGGCAACCTGTGCCAGTGCTTCCCTACCCTGTCCTGAGAGCTGCCTGAACAAGGAGCTGGTACTCAGTTGGCACGTGCTCTGTGACTTCATTTCACACCAACAGAACCTCAGCTCCCAGGAATTTGAAAAAAATAATCAAAATCCAGATACCTTCCAATATCAAAGCTCAATTTTTCTACTTCATACCATCAATTCATGAATCATATGTGACCAAAATGTACCTATTTAAATGGTTGCTCTCTTACTAAATTTTCTCTAAAAGGCCTGGCAACTGCTGCTTTGAAAGCTTCTTGCTCCATTTCAAACCTGTCTCAAGATGCAGAGGGACAAAAAGCAGCAGCTACGCATCATCAGAAAATGACAGAAATATCACAGGTGTCAAAATCCAGAAACAGGTGCAGCCCAGCCCTGGCTCCGCACAAGTTCTGCTGCCTCCAGTCACACACATCCCTAGAGGGTCCAGCCAGCTCCCCTGAACCAGCTGCAGACCACACCACTCTCTGTGCAGACACAGCACTCTGTAGCTTTGTAGAGCTGCATCACTGCTCTGTAAGCACAACCCCAAATTACACTGCCACATTTAAAAACACTTTTTTATGCCCTTTTTTAAACACTGTACTTGGGGGAAAAAAAAAATGAAGACTGCCTTTTTCACTTTCTCTCTTTCCTATTCTGACACTTCCTGATTCACAGACAGTGGACATTAAAATAGCTCAGACATTGGGTGGAAAACAGGCTGACTGTGCACAGCCTTTAAAACATGCAGCCCACTGATGCTTTATGTCTTACCAGAAATGCACTTACAGCGCTTAAAGGTTTGTGATCACCCTCAGGCCACCTGTCCCATCTGAAAACAGAATCATTCCTATTTCTTGTCATGAGTTATCTGCAGAGGCAATTACTGATAAATGGCTATATCCTAAGCTGCCCAAGGGCTTTCATTTAAGGCAGCAGGTTCTTGGTGTAAAGATGTGGTAACAGACAAAATATTTACTTAAATACAAAGTATTTAGCCTTTGCAATTCTTGCCTGGTTCAGAATGGGAACAAAACCGGTAAACTAAAGAAATACAGGATGAAGGCAGACAAAAAAATCATGCTGCATTTTCCAAAAGCATCTGTGTCTTGGAGGTATGTATGCATGTAGCACATCGGCCATTCACATTACACAGAAGGTGCTGTGCATGTATAATACCTTTTGCACCAAACAAACAACAGCAATATTGATAGGTGCAGGCAGTGTGACAAGTAATTCCTGAAGTGAAGTAAGAACTCCATCCTAGGCTATTATAGTAACAGCACTACATTGGCTGTCCTTTTTATGGCTTTAATACATGATTTTCTAATGAGAATCTAATAAATCATGTGAGTTACTGAGAACTAATGTTATTTCTGATGAAGAGTGATTGTCTTATGCTATGTTCTCAAGACACATAATACCAAGCTATACGACCATACAGAAAACAGTACGAGGGAGAATTCAACAATTTATATGACTCCACCATTGTTATTAGCATTTGAAGTATGTTGTGCCAGGGCATGTGTAAATAAGTATACTAAACAAAGCCTAATGAAGTCAAATGCAAGCACTCCTTATTTTTATATTTATTTTATTTATATTAACTATGGTAGGTTTTAAATCAGCACCACTCACTGCTCTCCAGAACACAAGGCACTCTAGATCACACCTTCCAGCCAGAGTACCGTGTCACCCTATATTCCACTCATGTACATTCTTGCTTTTTTTTTAACTTGTCACTTAGACTTTTTTTTTTTTAGGAGAAAAAGGGGAAATACATACAAATATCTCCTATGTCAGTCTGTAATTCATTTTCCATTTGGCCAACACTCTATATCTAGCTGTAATCTTAAAGGTGGCATGCAAAACACTGAAGGACACATCAGGCCATGCAGCACAGTAGTTTTCCAGCAGGAGACAACCATAAATTTCTGGGTTAAGCAATGAATGGCCACCTGCCATTTGGTTATAAATACAGATGGGCAGAGGGACTCCATTGTACCAGAAGTGACATTCTCACACAGCAGTCCAAATCCATGTCCATGCCAACAATAGCCTCAAGAAAGCACATCACAAAATACCTTCAGAATCAACCGCCGTCGATACACTCTTGTAGTAATCCTCTGCTCCTCACCTGAGCTCGAATCACTCTCAATCTCACTGTCACTACATTCCTAATAAATGCAGTTTTAGTACATTGTAACAGCACATTTGCAAGATAGAACGTGCTATCAGAACTACAAGAAGAAAATAAAGGTTATCATGGACAACATTTTTCCTGTCTATTACATACCTAATGACTTCTGCTCCTGAAGTATTTTCTGCTCTTTGACATGCTGTACTAGATACATATAACAGGTATGGAATATCTTTGCAGCTTTTAAGTGTTAGAAAATTGTATTTGGAATGCATGTGACCTAACACCTTACTTCCAAGTACCTTACTTGGAAGTGAAGAATTTTGTGTACAAAAAAATCTTCCAATAACTTTGCTGTTTCCTCCTCAAAAATTAACAATTCATTCTAATTCCAATTCTGTGCATTTACAAGGTATGGAAGTGAATTCCCTTATAAAGAAAGACTACAGTCACACAGAAAGATTCAGAGGCCCACCTGCCAAAGGTTAAAAACAAGAATTTTGAAGACGACCTTCTCTGTGTAAATGTTTTTCCTGCTCAGCATCTATCTCGTTTTAAGCAGTACTAACTGAAGCCTGAAATACAACTGCCCCACATCACTTGAGAAGGAAGGGGCAGGCCTCAACTCGGGGCAAGCCTGGTGCTGCTCACAGCTTGGTGCCGGGCAGGTGCTGCACACCATTGTCTGCTCCATCCCAGTGTCTCCACCGGCCCCACTGCCTTCCCTGCAAGACCCATGGAGCACTTTGACTTCTGCTTCTTTTTCTTTCTTTTTTTTTTTTTTTTTTTTAAAAACTTGCTCAAGGCATCCTAAACAAGAGGCACTTCTCAGAAATGATGTGTAAAGTCCGAGTCAGCATATGTGGGTGGAAGAGGAAAAAGGATCATATGAGATTAAAAAAAAGCATTTAGGGCAGGATGACAACATTCATCTGCATGCAGCATCTCCTGCTATCCTCTGTCACTAGCCAAATAAAGAAATAAAAATAAAAAAAATCCAAACCTACCCTGAACAAGTAACAAGAAGCAGAAGTTTCTCAAAAGAGCACAAAAGTTTAGGAGGAAGAGTAATACTAATGCACGACTTCAAGGGTTTTAGCTGTGACAGAACTCTGGCACTTCAAGTCACCTCAACCACATGACGTAACCTTCCTCAGGATAACATAAGTGTGCTGCACTTCTCTAATTTAAAAAGATCATTTGAATCTAATGCTTAATCTTAGGTAGAACATTATATGGTCCTCACAGTCACTGCTTTTTAAAATGTTGAGCATTTATGTGGACATGGGACAAGGTCAGCAATTCACTTCATTAACATCATCAGACATCAGCCCAGATGGCTTATCTCTGTTGCAAATCACATCCCAAAATACGGATGCAGCCTCTCCCAGCAGGTGAATGCTTATTGCTTTTTAGCTATTTCCCAAAGGGTCACAGTAACAACTGCTTTCTTTAGGAAGCAATATCCTTTTGTTGCCTCTGCTTTCCACAGAATGCCTTCCAGACAGACTGCAATTGAAATTTGCTTTCTGTTTTCACGACAGCACATGAAGAATTATTCCCTATGAACTGGATTCTGTGAGTAATTAAACTATTGACTTCAAGTAGATCACGTGAGAGACCCAGGTTTAGAAATCCCATTACTGACTCACATTGGTTTATTCAAAGATTGCATCTATTAAAAAAAATGTTATTTGGAAGATGAGATTATCACCCTTTACCAAGAAAGCAAAAGTAGTGCAAAAAGCGCATATACGAAATGCACACACTGATTCTTACCAATCCAGGTGGAATATCCAAAAGTGAAGAGAGGACAGGAGTGGATGACAACTTGTCTTCTCACTGATGGGAATCCAGAGGGGGAAGTGCAGCACTGTAGCACACCCCTCAGCACAAGTTACAGTGTACATCTATGCTTATCTCTGTATTTAAACTAAGCATAATAATATTAACCCACGGTCTGCCCCAAAGCCTACTGATAATACAGGAACTGCAGTCTGAGTTTAGCTGCCTCTGCAGCAGCTTTTTCTTACACTCTTCAACACTCAAGAAATGAGTGAACATTAGGAAAGATCTTAATTGCTTTAACTATGTCACAAACTAAAAACAAGATCATAACAATCATATGCTGCATAACTGATGAGACTGATTATGTTACTATTCAATAAAATAATTCTTTATTGTACAATCAAAAGAATAGTTTAAAATGAATTAAACTTGAATAATTTATTGCAGCCCATCACAGCTGCCATTTTTACTGCACTACAATAAAAAAAATGCCACATCCTGTAGAAGCCATTCTAAAAAATGCATCACTTCTGTAAGTCATAGTCTTGTATTATGCCCAAGAAAAGACCGTCTCCTAAGATGGGAATGTAGAAGAAATTCTGTAATTCTCTTTTTTTGCAATCTTTGAGCCTAGGAATTGTCCAACCAGCTCCCAAATTCCTACTGGACTAAAAGCCATTCCTTGAGTCAATTCTGGGAAACAGAACGTAGGTCACAGAGGAAGCTGTTAAGATTTTCATTTATCTAACACCAACTTATAAGTGAGATTCTGCAGGTGAGGACGTACAAGCCAGGCAAGCAGAACTGAAGGGGGAACCCTCAGCAGTAATTTAAGAATGAACTACCACCTGGGAAAGTGTACTACACATTTGGAAATTTTTTTGCTAGATGCACCTTGGAATTGGGATGAATGAAAACAAGGAGCAAAGCATAAGAAGGAGATTAGACTTCACCCAAGATTTATTTTCCTGCAAATTAATCAAGCAAAAAAAACCCACAAAAAACAGAAGGTGCTAGGGACAGGGATCTGGAAAGAGACAAAAGACACCCCGTATTTATTTGCTCTCCTCAATATCACAAACAGATCAGAAAACAGTGTCATCACCTTACTGGAAGTGAGTTGAGGAGAGCAGACCTGCCTAGCACTGTTTGCACAGATAACTCGGGCAGGAAAGGGACCTGCTTCTCAGCAATGCAAATGACATCACAAGCTGCTCTCATCCCTTCCAGATTTCAGGGCCAAGCAGGAAGAAGATTAAGCACCCTGCTTGGCTCCTCTGCCTGCCCTGACTGCACTTCATTCTGTTCATACCCACAGAAGATAATTTTCCACTAACTTCCACTTTCCTTAATTTGGCAATAAACATAACACACATAAAGGAGGATTAAAAAAACACCTGTCACAATATTACATGTCTTATAAAAAAACTATACTAAGCAATAGGGACTCCTCAAACAGCTAATAATTACAGGACATACTGTACCTTCTGTTCAGACATTCCTGCTCCCTCCTCCTCTTGGATGCCTGTTCTTGCCTTGCCATCCTCTGAAGTACTCCAGCCCATCTTCTTCACACTGACAGGCACAGATGTTTTGCTGCCTTCCACTGTTGGCTTGCTAGTCTCTTCCAAAGATTTCTGATATGCTGTTGATGACAATGTTTGCTCATCAGTACCAGCTGAAATTTGGGACTTTGTTTTCAGGGCTTCTTTGTCACTGTGTTTTCCCACATCATTTAAAGATTCCTGGACATAGGATTTAGTTTTTGTTTCTGTTGTGGTTTCTGAGAGGCTTCCATTTGTTTCTGGTTTCCCTGCTTCTCCTTTGACGTATGAGGTAACAGAGTCCCTACATTGGTCCAAGCTACAGAGAAACAAAAAGAAAAGACATTCATAAATAACACGCAGAAGAGAAAAGCACTCAGCCTTCAATCTTAGTGCTCACATTTCAGACAAAGTAAAATTTGAAATTCAACATGTAAGCATCAGTCTATTTAACAGCCTTCTCTTCCGCATTATGGTATCTTTTCAAAAGCAAGGAGAACATGGTGAACGTTGGAAATAAAGCCAAATGTTTAATATTAATTCCCTTCCACTTAGGAAGTAAAAAAAAAGGAAAAAAAAAACCAAAACAGAAAGAAAAAGACACCAGTCCTACCATTTCCTTTGTATAATCACAAGACAAATCCCTCGTGGCACTAATTCTTTAACCTGCTCTCCAAACTAGGAAGTAATGAAAGTGTCTGCTACCCTTCCCTCAACATCTTTATTCCAAATAACTTATGCCTCCTGAAAAATACTGGTGCTCAGAAATAATTCCTTAGCACAATTTCAATAATGCACAAAGCCAACGGCCAGAAAGATTACAAGACAGAAAGCTCTGGACCAAACTTTTTATTTTTGTTTGCTTTTCAGATAAACATTGGGACAATATGCAAGAGAAACCCACAGCTATTTGCTGGCAAAACTGCTATAAAATATAGCAAGTTGATTTCCTCTAGCTAGAAATCGATGTGTCATCTCCTTAAGGAAGATCTTTTACTCCTGGAAGAGATATATTTCATTAATTTAACACAGTAGAAAGCACATAATATAAGGCAGAATGGTTGCTTAACATAACAAAAATCATATCAGTAGCAGACCAAATGTTTTCAAGTCTTGAAAGACAATCAACTTGTTGGAATCAAAAGCCTTCCCACTTGATTCAGAAGGACTATCTCATGCCACCTAGAGCTCTTAAACATCCTGAATCAAAGCTGCAAAGTATGTAAACTGTTGACAGAGAGACGACTGATCTGCAAGATAGTCATTCTCTGCTGATTTACACCACCTGCAGAGCTGGCACCTTCTGTCACAAACCATGGGAGCCAATACAGAATAAGGCAAGAGCTCTTTATATAGCCAAACATGCCAGCACATACTGTGACTGCTGAAAGCTTAGGCAGGTCCAGTGGGAGGCTGGAAAAGCACATGCAAGAGAAACACGGTGATCATAAATCTGTGGAAAGCATCTACCATCTCAGAAAGTCATTATGATGAAAGTAAATGGAGCCCAATAACGTACAAGTTCCCTGAGCATCTTCTGTAGCCAGAATTGGGTAGAAGCATATGGGACTAGATGGATTTGGTGTTGCCACTGTTACCTTCTTGTGACTTGAAACACATTGCTTAAAAAGTCTAGCAAATTAGCATGACATAACACACTTGAAATAAATGTTATAAAATGGTGTCAGCTTAAAAAAACTGTGCTATGGAGAAAGAAATGCCTCTTTGATGGAATGCAAAGAGATGCAATGAAAAGGATGACTGCTAAAACAACACAGTAACACAGTAACTAGAGCAACACAGTATCCTGGTTCCAACAAGTTGTCATTTCATAGTCTCAAATTCCAATTCCATTTGCCTTGCTTAGATTCATTCAAAATGGAAATACAAAGAACATGAAAACAAAGATTATCTAGGAAATATAATGTAAACTAATTCTGTATTAAGCATGAAACTTGCTATATATACATTTTTGAAAATAAAAATGTTTGAAGCCAGATGAAGTCACAATGTTTTTTCTTACATACATATGCACATACGTATATATATGCACAATCTCATAAAACAGCAGAACATCAGCCTGAGACTGCTCCTTGAAGGCAATGGCTGCACATGAAGGCTATTTACACACATGTACAAGAAGATGCTCACCTATCATCCAGGCGATCTAGCAGACTACCACCTATCCTGCGTCCCGACGTTGGTGGCTCAGTGACACTTGATGAGTCAGTCTGCCAACCTGTAATTGAAGACATTTCGTGTTCTGCTTGCTGAACACCTTTAAGAATTGACCATACTTTTTCTTCCGTCATCTCCTCAGACTCAGCTCCTTCTTCCAGATGAATGTCCTCAAACAGAGATTTAAACTTTTCTTCCGTTATCTCCTCATCAGTACCAGACTTTTCTCTCTCAGGCTGTTCAGTCCTTACTCCTGTTTTGCTAGTCTCTTCGCTCTGCCTTTGTTTAGCATCCTTAGGTATCCCGCCATAACTACCAAGATACCGTGGATAATCCTTAAGGTCCACTTCCTCCAACTGGCTCTGGCCTACAGAAATACCTTTAGGTGTTCCTTCGCTAGGCACTGAGAAATCATGCTTGCTGTCGTCCAGTGAGGTGTCTTCTTCAGTCACCACTGGCGGTGCTGCTGCTGTACCATCTACATGTCCCTGGGAGGTCACTAACACGTCACTCAGTCTACTGGGAGTTCTAAGGGGTGACTCTAGGCTAGAGGTGTCGCTAAAGAAATCATCCTGGTGGAAAGGGGTGGGTGGCACGAAGCGCAACCCAGTGGGAGTTTCCAGTTCCACTTGAATGGTGGGATAACCTAAGGAAGACAGCACATTTGGACTGACTGGGATGAAGCATGGAGCAACAAATCAGCAAATGTTAAAAGACTCATGAGTTACGTCAAGTATGAAAACCATGAGGAGATGCAGGTGTATAAGAACAAATGCAGTTCTGATAGATTTACTTTGCTCTAAATATTTGGAACAAAAAAGAGCATTGCCAAAATAGCTAGTACAGCAAAGCTAATACTTTTGACTATTTTGTAAATAGTCTGTAAAGATTTCAGCAATTGCTTTTGCAGCCACTCAAATGTTTTCAAGCTATAGCAGATTGCCTTATGAATCAAATTGCATGCAATGAATCAAACATGGACAGGGATGGCTGTCCCTTTATATCCAGTCCAGAATCTTGCAGCCAAATTGCATACATCTTTCTGAGTTTTTACTGCTTTAAAATTGGAATTTTAATAAATAGACTTTAAAGACAGAAGTAGATTGAAACATTGGACAGTCACTTTTCATAAATGTATATTAAACAGGTCCACATTCTTAATATACTTATATAAAAAAAACCACAATACTAGCAAGACAATGCTACTAATACTTATCTCCAATATAATCACAGAGCCACAAGAATAGAATAGTTAAAGAATGAGGCATAGAAATGGATCTCAAAGAGGATACTAAAGAACAGTAGGGGTAAATACACAGCAGGATAAAAAACTAAAGAAGGAAGTTAGCAGGAAATTAAGAGAATACAAAAAACACAGGGAGAGCTAGATGAATATTTCAGGTACAGTAAAGTTATACAGGTGAGAGGACTGTGGTGGGTAAGGAGATCTTGGTGATCTTGGAGACTGAGGCGATCTTGGTGACATGGGAACAATCAGATACACTGATCAAATGAAAAGAGAAAAGAAAAGGAAATTGATGAAAACATAAGAAAATCATACAAAAGGATTAAACTGAATACACATGTAAAATGACAACAAAACCTGAAATTCATTGCAACAGATAATAGACTGTGTAACCCACCGAAGGAAAAAATACATGCTTTGGGTTAACTTGACATTGTGCTGCCTGCAAAGGGAGATGCTCTGACAGGGCTTGCTTTTTTTCTGTTTCCTGAATCAGCTGAGAGAAAGGTAAAGGCGGTCTGGTCTTGGTGAGGAAAGGAAGCTTGAGGAAGGCTCAGAGAAGAGGAGAGACAGAAAGCAACTACAGGGAAGCGTACTGTCTTCAGGAAAATTCTGATGCTGCTATTTAAAGGCGCAAGCAACATTTCAAGAGCAACTTTCTTAAAATGTCAACAGAAAATTATTTCTGTAGTGCAGTGATTCAATGACCAGCAATGCTGCTCAACAATGGAAGTACACTGAGCTTATATGCTCTGAGTACAAGAACATCCTGCTAAAACACAGAGAGGGACCAATACAAACTTGAATATACTACAAAAAAAAAAAAAAAAACAAAGAAAATATAACTCAAAGAAGTCTTACTTAACAAGCTATTTATAACACATGGTAAAAAAAAAATCAAAGTAAAGAATATAGCAACCCAGTGTCATTAACTAACATTTAAAAGAAGAAACAACATTTAGCATGCTCAACATAATGATAAATAATAAGCATACCTCTGGCAATTCTGATTTATAAGCAGAACTCCACTTATCCTGTTAACATCTGACTCAAAATAACCATGCACAATTCTATGCTCAGTGTGTTCAGCTTCCATGCGAAGATTATTACATTTTTAGTCATTACTAGACTGACAAAGATATTGTCTCATGAAAAAATGTAACATTTTCTTATTTTTCTACTGCCACTACATATTTGGATAATAATGGCCCCAAATAACAACAACAAAAATCATGAAAATCTTGAAATAATTGATGTTCGTTTGTAGATAACTCATACAGTTGCTGAACACTTTTTCCTTGAAAGAAATCTTACAGTTACTTACATAGAGAGGAAGTCAAAGAGTGGGGGATGAGGTGAGTATGAGCGATTTTCAGCTAACTTGGAAAGCATAAATGGACTAACACCAACGCACGACTACTGAAGGAGAAAAACATTCAGGTCTATTCAGGTCTTGTCAACTGATACTGAGGCTGGTGGAAACGAGCTTACTTAGCTGTGCATTTGTGGGATCCTGAGCTTGTTCTCTGGGACATTAGTGTGCAACCTGAATATACCACGAGGAAAAAGCCTTAACATTAAAAGCAATCATTTCTTTAGACCTTCTTTTTCTTAACATCTAGTTAACACAACATTATTACATTACCGGAGATAATACAGAACTAAATATGACCATGGAATTCAATTACCATCAATGGGATCATGAAAAACGTTATTTTCATCTGCAAAGCTTCTGGTGCCTGAAATATTTCCATAATCAAATATTGGTCCTTCCAGCAGGGTCACAATATCTATTCGATTAATTTTTGTCAATACAGAAGTTAAGGCATCAGCTGAAAAACAAATAAGACACGTCAGAAAACAGGTTCAGTGTTCAGAACTGTCTAATTGTTTCAGTAACATTCACACTGCATTAATTATAAGTTGCTGACATATGTTTCTGGCCCAATGCCTTTGATTCTAGCAAACTCCATCATTTATGTAGTCATTTTGCTGCCCACTTATGCAAGATGTACCTCTATTAAGATTTTTCCCTTGCGAGTGCTATATTGCAACATAAGCAGCAGGAAAAATAGGGTCGAAGAGCTCTTAAAGAACATATTTACTTGCTACTGAAATAAAATAACCTTTTATTGGAACGTAAAAGGATTGTTAAAATCCTTGACAGAATTCTATTTTAAGAAACAGAATAGGTAGCCTTGTTAGTAGTAATGCACATAAAGGCTGTTCACGTGGTACACACTGAAACCACATTTACAAGAACACAGTAATAGCGGAAACAACTTTTACATTGAAAAAGATACAGGTTGACTTAAATACCATGTAGAAGTTTGTGGGTTAGAGAATGGTAACAATCACCATTGACTGAATACAAAAATCAGACCCCTATTTCAATTTGAGGAATTTACAGAGATAACAACAACAGCAGAATCGACCCAGACCTTGTCCCCAGAGAGTTCTTTCGTCTCAAATGCACACATTACTTCTCAGAGGAGAGTGTCTGGTCTATCATTAAAACCTGCAATACTGCGAGACTATGTAACTTTTCCAGGCAGCCTATTTCTATGTTTCAGGTTTATTGCTATTGCCAAATCTTCCCTAATATTTCCTTCACTGGAATTTAAACATTTTTTTGCCCTGTCCTACAGATGTGGAGAAGATATTATTTCCCTCTGCATAGGTATTGAATAAATATTACACTTCTCTGCCTTCCGGCAAAAATGTAGCTGAAACATTTCTTTCCCATTAGTGATTTGCGTAAGAAATTAATTGTTATCTTCTACTTAACTTACTTAGAACAGGCTGTAACTTACAAACAACTAAAGTAACTAATTGAACTTACTTGTAGCATTTTTCCCGTCTCTGGTAACCCATTTTTTTAATAACATGAAACTTTGAGCAATAAGAGAATTTGGGTTTTCTACTCGGATTTGGTTTATTTCATCCACAGAAAAATTCAGTTCTCTTGCCAGTTCTATGAAGGAAAAAAAAAAAAAAAAAAGAATAAAGAAAAAATAAAGAACAATAATAATGAAAGCTCCAAACAGCACAAGTCTCTCAATTACCCTGTCAGGCTTAGAAGTATTAGCCTTCTTAGACCGCACAGACATCAGCAAATCTACCTGATGCAAAGGGGTATCTTAATAGATGACGAGCATGGCACTAAACACTTAAACCCTTCAGTTTCCTAAAACAGGCATAATTCTGAATTTTCAATCACGTCTCTGCAAGCTGCTACTGCATTTATATAACGCTCTCAACCAGTGAAGAAAAGCTCCATGGAGACTTCATCACTGCTCACCAATAACACTTGTCCTGGTGACCACTGCTCATTTGTGAGTTTGCTGCACAGCTCACATACCAGCACTGCCATTGCCTACAGCAGGGAGAGCTGACTGCAGCACCCATAAATCCATGAGGAGCCAGCACTGCCCGTCAACATGTTGATGGTATGGTGGGCATACAATGAGGCAATCCTACATGGCACCAAATTGCTGGAGCCCCAGGAAGCCCCCAGGGCTTTGAGGAATTCATTGCCTTGTCACAGCGTCAGATACCGGAAGCCCTGACCCTGAGTAGATAGATCCTTCCAACTACTTTGGTGTAATATCTTGGGAGGAAAAACATTTTAGCTATATACCCTATGAGTTTCCATTTGATTCGGTGAAAGCTGGTACAATAACTCCACTGAGCCATTTCCTACCAGACATCTCTTCCCAGCTATCTGCTGAATATTTTCAGAGGCTGGGCTCACTGTGAATTCAGGAGAAGCTGACAGGGCCTTGCTGCAGGCTTTTGGTAAAAAAGACTACCTGAGAATGCAACAGCAAAGACTGATTTCAGTATAAAAGCACAAAAGCTTACCTGTCCAGCTAAGTCCAAGGTGATCAGCTACAATTGCCATCCTTATATCTGTTCGTTCACATGGACTTTGTGGACCTGCGATTTACAATTTCTTGATTAAAAGAGTTTTGCACAAAAAAACACAATACCGGACAATAGTTTCTTATAAGTTATAGCTGGAATTCGACTAAGTTGCCGGTGCTTATATTGTTTACTAGAATGGTTGTGTGTCCTAATAACCTACAAAGCAAATTTTTTTTTTCACCTGTGTAAAGCCGAATGTCAAACTACATGATGTTGTGTAATGAAATCAAACATGCTGACAATCTAGCTGTTAGACTGTACACAAGTTGTTTAATTACTGGTGGAAACCACCAAGACCAAATTAACATCTATTTTCTCTACTTTGACAGAACAAATTTGCTGTCACAAAATAAATCTTTCAATTTCTAAGTTACATCAATGTCTTTGGCATGCTTCACTAGCTTTCTACAGTACAGGATTTGTTTAAAGGAAGAAAGAAGAGTATAAGACAGCACATACAGATGACAATGACAGAATGAAAACTACGGTTAAGTCACTTCACAGGCAATCACAACAGTTCATGCACTAGGATCAACAAGTTGAAAGTTTTACAAACTAGGCTTGATCTCCACGAGGTGAGCCATGAGAGCTCCAGAAACCTGACTGCCTTCATTCTCACCAGTCCTCTTACTCCTCCTCCTCTCACTGTCGGCTTTTTCACTCTTTGATTTTATAGATGCTGCCTCTGTTCTCATATCTCTAGCAGACTTCGATGTAATGGAAGGCAGGTACACTTGAGTAGCTTCTGACAGTGATGTGTTCCTTGATGTACTGTCTTCTTCATCGTCAGAGACCTCTGACTGCATCTTTTTCTCTTCATCAGATAGACGATCCACAAGCTTTAATGTCTCACCACTAATTCCCTTAAAATATTCAATTGAATGTTTACACACCTCCCTAAGCTGATTTTTTTTTACTTTAACTGTTGTCATTGTGACGGAGGTAGATCTTACCTTTACTGGTAATTTAGAAGGAAGCTGTTTTGTTTTTTCTTTCTCTACCTGCTCTTGCTTTGGTAGGGCTGGAGGTTTTCTAGATAAATTACTCCTACGTGTATTTTTTACAGGAATCCTAGACCTTCCTTCTAGACAGGGAGGAGCATTATCTTGTTTTGCTTTGTCAGGCTTACTAGCCTGTCTCACTTTACTCCCTGTGTTGCTTTGGAGATTATTTTGCGGCAAGACTTCTTTTACTGAGCTGGCCTTTACAGGAAGTTTTGATTTTCCTCTAGCCCCTACCAACTCTGTTGACTTCTGCTGCTCTCCATGTGCTTTTTGTTTCTCTCTTACTCTTTGTCCTTGTGTTGTCCCTGTACCTTTTCCTGAAGTGCTTTTTGCTGGGTTAGCTTTCTGCAGGGAACATTTTGGTTCCGAATGTTCTTCTAGCACTACATTAGAGGTAATATCATCTGTAGAGACTGCAGATGAATCCAAATTGTTGTTGTTATTAAAATTATCTTTTGGAAACTCAGTGTTTTCTGTTTGCCTACAGCTTGTCTCGCTAGAAGCTGAACTCGCAATCACTGCTACAGTTTCATTTTCTAATCCCTGACCACTTGGCATCACAGCTTCTATCTTATCTGTCACTTCGCCAGGACCATCTTTCTTCAGAGTCATGGTGGAAGCAGAAATTCCCATTTTAATTGGCGTGCGCAATTTGGGATCAACTTTAGAAGCATTTACCGCTGCCGATGATTTTTCCAGTGAGTTACTACCAAGTGTTTGTTCCATGCAATCTCCACTGGCCTGGATGATGGGCTTATGTTCAACTGCTGGTGATTCTACTGGTCTCTCTAGGTTTGTTTCTACAGTGTTGTCCCCTGCCTGTGGCTGTGTGATGGCAGTGACTGTACTTTTATCCCCTTCCCCCTTGTCCCCTGACTTCCCTTCAGAAGTATGCTCACCAATCTGAAAAAATTGGAGTCTTTCTTCAACAAAATCCCTCTTGCTCATGTCAATTGCACCACTGCGAGTCATCTCAAACATCTTCCCTTCATGAAATGGGAAGGGGTTGGGCTCGCTAGTTGGCGTACTCTCATCTGTTGGAGTTCTGGCTGGAGTTGTATCAGGTGTTGTTGCTTGAGATCTGTCTTCCACTGCCAGACCAAATGGCTTTGCCTCATCATCCCTTGATTTAGTCTCAAACACTTCGTCGTCACCTCGGTTATTGGACCATGGGTCAAAATCTAGACTCTTAGTGGCCACAGTTTTGAAAGGCGTTGCAAATTCTTCATCTACTTTGTAACTGAAATATGAATCGGGAAACACAGTCCTGTCAGGGTGTCTGCCTTCCAAAGTGAAAAACTGCGCCCCTGACTTCTGCTCGCTTTTATCTCCGGCCTTTTCAGAAGCTGGACCCTTTGAAGGCACCTTGTCTTCTTCAGGGCCTACCTTCCCTTCCTCCTCAATGACTTCAAGTTTACTCTGGCTAAAGCAGCGATCAGTCTGCTTTAGAATACCTTCTGTAGTCCATACGTCCTTTTTGGTTTCAACTGCCGGACCTGCAAGTTTAGAATCACTCTCAGTTAAACCATCATCTTCATCTTGCAAATCATAACCGTCAAGAGAGTCAATCTCAGTCGCATCGGTATCATGGGAGAATTCTGCAGTGGTTGCTATGGAACACTCTGTGACAGACTGGTCATTATTATTCCCATTTTGCACTACATCATTCTGGGGTGAATCAAGCCCAACGTCAAACTCACTAGGTTTCCCAGAAGTGGGGTGTCCTAACTCTTTCTGTTTCTCAATCTTTTCAGGGGTTCTGGGTTTTGAGCTTTCTTTCTGGTCATCTTCTAGTTCTTTCAGTTTGAACGTGTACTTTTTAAGCGGAACAGGTTGATAGAGAGATTCATCATCACTGGAGTCACTGACATCTGCTCCCGGCGGCACAGGAGACGGTGGCTGTACTCTTATAACTGGCTCAGCCAGTTGACATTTGTCATGTTCATCCTGCAGGTTCACTTCTGTCATCTCCATTTCACTCTCAGTGGAACACTGAGGCTTCTTTTCTGACTCGGCTTGATCTGCATCCAGTGGTGGAGGAGGTGGGAATTCAATGTAGGCAACTCTGTTACCTTTCGGTCTTTTGTTAGAGTCCTTATTTATATGGTTAGGTAATGATTTGTCAGTCTGTGGTTCCTCAACTACTGCCTGTTTCACAGAGGTTGACTTAGCCTCTGCTTCCTCCTCTGATTCCTCAGAAACCTCAGGTATAGGACTGGGTTTGCCTGGGATATATGCTATTAGTGAGTCGGGTGTTTTAGATGTAAACTCATAACTCACTTCCTCTGAACTTGGTGTTTCTGGTGTTAAAGGGCTTTTGCCAGAGCTATCAATAAAGGACACCTGTTCTAGCGTATCATCTTCTGGACTACCTTGTGGAGAGGGAGGTTGCTTTTGCTGTCTAGCTGTGTAAAAGGTCCCCCTTGTCTCTTGCACTGTCTTACTTTCCTGACTGACAATTTTTTTAATACTTCCTTGTTGCACCTCTTTCTCATATTGCTTTCCTACTTGAACAAAACTGACATAAACCGGTAAGGTCTTAATTTCTTTCACTCCCTCTGTACTTACTAATGGTGCAACTTTATCCAAGTAATCACTGGCACCAGGGTCAACTAACTCATTCGAAGGAGATTCCTTTCCTGGACTAAATTCTAGAGAATCTGGTGATTTGCTAGGGGATATCTCAGTTTCCTCAACAGGAGGACTTAGACCTATCAAGCTCTGCTGCTTGGTAACTCTTCTAATTTCTGAATGCTTTACTTGATCATCTTCCATATAACCTATCTGCCTCTCAACTTTCTCCTTAATCACAGCTGACTGGGATACTTTAGCTGAAAGTTGATAAACACCATCAAGCACAGTTCTCTTCTCCTCAGCAATCCTTACTGGAATATGGGACACAGCAATTTCTTCTTTCCTTCTGGATATTTTATCAGCTATTTCACCGTTACGTTCCCCCTCCCTGACAACAAATTCTCTGTATAAAACCTTTTTTGAGGGAGATTTTACAGTCATTTCTTTCACTTCTTCTGAATGAATGCCATTTGCTGCCAGTTTGTGCTCTGTCAGAGTAATAAATTCAGTTTTTTTGTCAGCTTCAACATGATCAACGTGGTTTTCCTTTACTGTATCTGGAATCAGCACATGTGAAAGCTTCTCTTTTTGTGTTTTATGATTAGAAGTTCCAGGACTTTCCCAAGTCCTATAGATTTTTTTGTCCCAGTGTCCCTTTGCCGTTGAGTCTGAGCCATACACCAGGTCTTTTGTCTGTGATTCTGAAAAGTACTCTGGCACACTTGCTTCAGTTCTTTGCTTTTGTGTGTCTGAAGCACAAAATTCTTCTATAGCTTTTCCTTTACCTGGGACAAAATCTTCCTGTATTTTCACCTCTTTCTGTAAAGCTGCACTTCCATCAATGAGCTCGACTTGCTTTGCGTGTTTCTCTCTAGAATAAAACTGGTAAACCGGTAACTTACTTTCTTGCAACTTCTTTACCGGAATTTTGGACTGACTGTCCAGTTTTTTTTCCTCTTGAGTTGGGTCCTTACTCTTTGGACTTATGCTTTGTTCAAACTTCAGCCTAATAGAACTGAGTTTTGATTGCTTCAGCTGAAATCCAGCCTGTGAAACCTCAGGCACTCCAGTCTGCTGAGCACTTCTTTTGTGTTCCATAGTTTGCTTAGAGTCCTCTGCTGGTTGCACAAATATCCTTTTCTCAGGACTGCTGGGCAAACTGGACACTTTTCTTTCATCCACTTTGGGAAAGCATTTGCCATCACGTGCATGCTGTTTTGCTTTACTCCAGTCATCACCAGACGCTGATAATTCAGAGAGTAGAACCTTCTCAGGGCTGCTGCTGGCAGAGCTCTGACTAGAATGTATTTCTTTGCCATTTTTTTTATGCTGTTTTTTCTCTGGAGACTGTAGCTCATCATTCAACTTCTCTGTTTTATCCCGAAAAAACTGTGATACTTCAGTCAGTTTTTCTTCTGCCTCCTTAACAGTCCTGTCCACCCTGTCTTCATATATCAACTTTTCTCTACCTCTGTCTAATCTGTCCTCAGTAAAGCGCATCCACATTGCATGCTTTGGACTACTAACATCTCCAGTGTAGTGTAATACTGTCACTTTATCATAATGATCATCTTTAGACATTTTACCCACACCATTTTCAGATACATCTTTATAGATTTTGGAGAGAATCTCTTTTTTAGGGGCAGTAGCTACTTTTTCTCTGCATCGTTTATCAGACCCCTGTAACTCTGCACTAAGGGGTAGAGCATCAGTAACTGACTCCTCAGTATCAGACTGAGAAACATCTAGCTTTTCTGAAAGAAGCATTTTCTCAGCAAACCTGTAAGACTCCCCTCTTAGTTCTGACAACTCATCATCATGGTATTCTATTGAGTGCTGACTCAAAAGCTTCAGTGTTTTGTAAGAGTCATCAGACATGAGTTGAGCAGAACTAGGGCGACTGTCTTCTTCCTGGGACACGGGAGTGTTAACTCTAGAGGATTCCAGATAAGAAGGAAGTGACTCTTCGGCTGTGAGCTCCTCTTCTTCTTGCTGACCTTGTTCATCTGAACAAGGAAAAGCATCATGTTTTTCCAACTCTTTTAAGTTAATATCTCCCCGAGGTAAGTCTTTCTGATACACATACATTTCTTTTTCTGGATGCTTTTTTGTTTCTCTAATAATCACTTCAGTAGGTTCAGCCTGATTACCTTTTTCAATATGGACCTCTATTATTCGCTCCAGTTTGGGTTTCATTTTGCTGTCCTTCTCTGCATGTTGTGGTGAAGTTTCAGCAGACTTGCTAACATCGGCTGTTACTGATGATTTATGTTCAAACAGACCTGCCAGTTCTTTGGAAGGGTCACGTCCAGACTGAAAGGCTTTCATTATGTCATGAACAGACATAGTTTCCTCAATTCTTTCCGATGTGCTTTCAGTGCATGGAGGTTTGTGATAAACCATCCTAGTTGTCGTAGTGATGTGAGTTTCTTCTTTTACTCGGACACCTTTGCTAAGGACACACTTATGGTCATCTTCCTCACTGCTGCTAGCTTTCATTTGAAATGCTTTAACCTTCTCTTTAATAGACCCGGCAGGCTTTTGCTCCAGCTCCATGAAAGCAGGAGCAGGCTTTGCGGCCGGTAGTTCTTCTGTTTTCTGCTCTGGAATTTCTTCAGATGATGGTTCGTAGCTACGGATAACATGAACTACCTCAGTTCTTGTTTCTGTAATGACGGGAGGGATGGGTACATCATGGAAAAGTGGTTTTGGCCCTGTGCTTTCAGCGCTTTGAGGGGCAGAAGGTGTTTTTTCACTCCTTGTTTCAAAGCCACTGTCAGATAAAGGACTTTTGTCTTGATCGTGTTGAGAAAAGTCATCCGGAGACTCTAAAATTGTATCTGCTCCAAAAAAGGAATCCGCAATTTTACATAACTCCTTTTCTGATGTTGAAGGCCTCATGGAGGCAGGAGGCATTTTGAGTTTGTGTTCCTGCAAAGCAATAGCTGGCTTTAAAATGCGTTTTTGTCTCTCTTCACCTTCTTTTTTCCCCTCTTCAAACTTGTACTTTATGTTTGTTAATGAACTGCTACCGATATCATTTGCTAAGTAATCAATAACTTTTGATAAGTTATAATCCTTTTCCGACACAGTTTTAGCTTTAATTTGTGCCTTCTCTGGAACAGACATAGGAGGGCTTGTCAAAGCTTGCTGTCTTGCTTCATCAATCTCCTCTGCACTGAACTCTACCCAGTCATCCTCAGAGACATGTCCTTGATCGCTTTTAGATACTTTAGCAGACCCTTTACTTTCTAAACATACATCTTTTTTCAGAATCTCACTAACTTTTACTAAGTCCTCTTTCACTTTCTCAACAATTTTAAAAGGCTCTTCATCATCGATTCTACCCTCTTTTGGTATCTCAGGATGGAACGGTTTGTCCTCTGTGACATCTGTCTGCAATATTGCAGTCATTCTTATTAGATCCTCTTTCATTTCAGCAACATCTTTCAGTATCTCCTGACTGGAGGATAAAGAAGATGGCGTGGACAATTTGAGAGCAGAGGGTGCTAAGAACAAGGATGATTTTATTGGAGATGAAGTTCGATTAAAGGGAGGTTGCGTGCGTGCCTCTGTAGTCAATGTTTTAATAGGTGACAGTAACGCAGCAGCTGATTTTGTAAGCGGAGATGACTCTGGGAGCTTCTTTAATGCTGGTTCAGACAAAACATTGACTACAGAATATACCGGCACTGTTATTGTTGATGAAGTTACAGATGAGGTAGTTGCTGATATTGACCCAAGGGCTGTATACAAAGCACCTGCAGGAGGAGTTCTTATTGACTGGAAAGCTGATGGTGCTGAAGACACAAATGACCTGAGTGGAGAAAATGACATTGTTGAAGCAGTTGAAAACACTCTCTCAGCTGTGTCAGCAACTGCGCTAGCAGCACAACTTGCAGAATGTGCAGCTGCAGCAATCTTGTCTTGGAAAACAGCTGCAGCTTTGGATCCATTTATTAAGTTGGAAGAAGACGGGTATTTCAGCGGTGACACAGACCCATTAAGTAATGGTACATCTGTGTGCCCAGCTACATGTTTTGCTGGCGACGAGAGAGACGAGGCCATCATGACCTTAGAGGATGAAACAGCATCAACTGCTGACTTAGCAGGTGACACCACTGACTTTAGAGGGGACGATAATAGTGAGGATGCTGATGTGATGACCGATTTAAGAGGCAAACTCGAAGAGTACATGTTAATGTTGGATTTGGGGGATGCTGGAGGCGTCATGGTTATGGATGATCTCTCCAAGAGAGACCCTGCTGTAGTCACAGGAGATGTCCGAGTGGGGAATGTGGTAGTGGATGCCAGCCCTTTTAGGCTAGCAGCTTCTGTTACTGCGGGAGCTCTGACGAAAGAACCTGAAGTAACCTGCATATTGTACGGAGGCTGCGAAACCACAGTTTTTATTGGTGAGGAGATTGTCCGAAATGATCTAATCGGAGATGCTACATCACTAACAGATTTAACTGATGATGTGGTAGAAGCTCCTAATGTGGATTTGATTGGAGAAGCAGAAGAAACAGACCATATTGATTTTAATGGGGAAGCTGTAGGAGTGTTAGAGGAAGAGCTTGATAAGGAAGTGAAGCCTGATTTGGTTTGCCCAGGCACTGTAATTGGAGCTGTTGTCCATGACTGATATGGCCGTGTTGAAAAGAATGGCTTGTATGAGTAAGTAGCAGGTAGGGATCTTGTTGCTCCTGCACTCCGTTCAACTGTTTCTTAAATTGTTAAATTAAAATCAAACATAAAATCAACAAAAATGATTGGAAAACAGAGAGACCAGAGAAGAAAATCGGTCAGTAAACGTTGTAATATTACAAAAAGCAAGTACAATTGTTCGCATGAGTTAGGATGAAGGAGGCAAAAGAAGATTTAAAAAGGAAATAAATATGAATGGAGCCATACACTGACGATTGGTCCAAAACAAAAAGTAACATGAAATGAAAGACAGAAAGACATAGCAATTGAGTCTGCAAAAAGTGAAGACCAGAAAACACAAAGAAGGAATCCATAAGGTAAAAATAAAAACCACATGAAAATTCTTCTCTTACTTCCTATTGACTTTCTGACGTGCTAATTCTGAAATACTCGTATCAGTGCTCTTTTGCCTGTTTATGTATGCTTAATTTGCACAACTATTAGAATTATCCTATTAATAATTTTTGTTGATGGTGTTGTTCTATTCAGATATTGAACCTATACAAAACATAAGCTTATGTAAAATGACATTACATTACTAAAATCTTTTTTTTTTTTTTAAACCAGTCAGAACTATTTCATGCAGAACCCAAAATTCCTTTAAGTGACAGGCAATTAATGTGCAAACTGTGAAGCAACTGGAATAAAATTCAAATCTGTATCTCCCATGCATAATTCGGATATGCTTCACACTCACAAAGCCAATAAGAGCAAGAGCTTTTCTGAGTCAATATTTTATAAAATAATTAAAAAAAAAAAAAAGAAAAGGAATGTTTGCATTTGTTTTTCATGCGATATTCCTTTTGTTTGGAAAAAAAATAAGTAAAACTAAAGTAAAACTTTACATGAAATGATTTAAGAAGCATATGTCATACATCAAATACAGAAAGTATGATATATGATAAACGTGAGCAAGCAAAGCAACTGAATCAGTTTTCGTTCATGCACAATGTATCATGTCAAAACAAGCACACATTAATAAATTTTTATGCTGGATAAGCACAAATATGTAAATCTTAAAAATATCATTTCACAAGTGGCCATTAAAAGAAGAGTACACTTTTTCTACAAGATGTAGTGTCTTGGTACCTTTTGAGGAGATTTCTTGCATCAGCTCAGACAGACCTGTTCAACTTTCAATTTCTCAAAAGGTAACATTAGAAAAGCAGTCAAAGAACAATATGTTATGCAAAAAACTTCCTGGCAAGGACAAACCTGTCAACTGTTACCATCCCCCAGAACACTCAGCTTATTCATAGGCATTTCAAACAAAATCATCATCAACCACATTTTGCATCATGGGAGGTACTCATGCCAGAAGACAGCATTTCTGGGAATCCCAATACATATCCTCTGATACAATGATAACATTTAGAGAGTTGACATTGAAAGTGAATTAAAGGGTCTTTTTTTTCTTTTTTTTTTTAAACTCCTCAGTTTAAAGTTGAGTTAGAAACTGAGCTGAAATATCCAAATAACTTATTCAACAAACCTTTCTCTGAAGTAATAATTTGTCAAACTTACTTGGTCTGTCTTATAGACAGTAACTTACATGAAAGAAACTTAATAAGGCTAATACTAAACTGTTAAAACACACACAATTACAGAATTGTAAATAAGTGTTCAATATACCACAGGTCCATATCCTGCAAGGAAAAACATGCTGGTCCTACAAAAGCCAGATGAAACTCAGAAAGCAATGTGGATGGCTGGTGATGTGGCAATATTAGAACATTTAGGTTGAAGAGAGCTTGAATACTAGGCCTGACTGGCACAGCCTATTTCTAGAAATGTTTAATTTTCCCATCCTCCTCACAAATTTATTTTGAAGCACATACATACCTTTTTCTTTCCCCCGAAGAAGAAAACACTTTGTATTCCATTAAATTAATTAGACTTCATTGTGAAGATTAATTAGCAGCACCTGCTGACACTCACCAGAAGTTCATACTGCCCCAAGTCCAAAAAATAACCCCCCAAATCATTGAAAAAATAACCAACATCAAAACAACTTGTTCAGCAGTTTCAGTTTGGAAATGTCTTTAGAGGGACCCCACTGTGCTGTGTTGAGCAATTCTGCCACAACTGGTTTGTACAGTAATCAAACCAGCAAACCATCCTCTTAACTGCTCTTTATCCCTAAATCACAAAGTCAGACACATATAAGATGCTTTTTTGGTACTCTGTACAGCAGCTGAGAAGAACTGATACAAACAAAAAGGACTAATTTACAAATGTGTGCAGTTCTGACACAAGTCAAAGTAGCAGGAAAACGAGGCAGTTTTACTGTTCTGAAATAGCAAAGCAATCCCCACAATCATTCCAGACTTCAGAGTAGGGTATGATTCTAAAGAGTGTAGTTTTCAAATCAGAACAGCCTTTTTTAGTTAAAATTTAGTTTAGCTACTGGACACTGCTGGCCTTAGCAGTATCCATTCCTCTGTATCCGAGGCTATCGGAAAACACATTACTACCTTCTGTACAGCAAACTGCATTTGCTTGCAGCTGGTAACTGAAAGCACTGAGTGAACTTCAGCATGCAAATGCCCCCAGCTCCTGCTGGAGCAGTCCTGCTCCTCTACAGCTGCAAGCAGTCAGCACTGGGCAGGGTTAACCCACCACAGCTGTCCTTTTCAGTGGGAAATCTCACTGCTGGGGAGAACAGAGAAGCCCCTCTGACCTCTCCTCCCTGAGGAGGGATAAGAAGAGGTAGGCAGGAGACTACCTCACCTTCCTTGCTCTCTTCTGCCCCTACACTGGCACCAACACAAGCAGAGCAAAAAAAAAAGTTGTGTGTGTGTGCATGCCTGAACTTGTGAGAGAAAAACAGCCCAGCCTGCACTGCTACCAAAACTGAAGAGTTGTGCCATCACATTTGCTGGAAAGAGGCAGAAGTTACACACACACCTCCACCAGTGAAGCAAATGCTCTGTGGAGTAAAGCAGCCACAGCAGCCTCACTGGCTCTGTTGGGCAGCATGCTCTAGAAGAACTGTGCCTCTAAACCTGCATCATCTCCCAGCAGCATCATGTTGGTGGTGATGGTGGCAGCCAACAACTGCAAACTGTGTGCACACGAGGTGGTACTCAGGTTGTTGGCCAAACCACTGCCTGCCATCCTTCCTGGCACATACAATAATTTTTGCATGCTCTTTGAGTAGCTCACCACCACAAGTAGAAACCACTGCCTCATGGGATAGAGTAGTTAAAGAATGGTCAAGGACTTCTACTATGCCCTAACGTAAGTTTTCTTAGAATAAAGCCCATTAACTGGATTTGTTTTTTTCTTCCACTTTTTGCAAATGAGACTTAATGAACCTTTGGTGAATAAATTTTAAATAGTTTAAAACTTTTTTTTTCTTTTGTCCCCCAATGAGGCCTGAAAAACAAATTGTAAGCAGTACACACAAGCATCAAACTTATTTGAAGCAGCTCCCTTTCCACAGAATCATAGAATCACCAAGGTTGGAAAAGACCTACAAGATCACCCAGTCCAAACATCACCAATAGTTCTCACTAAACCGAGTCCCTCAACACAACATCCAAACGTTCCTTGAACACCTCCAGGGTCGGTGACTCCACCACCTCCCTGGGCAGCCCATTCCAGTGCCTGACAGCTCTTTCAGAGAAGTAGCAGAGTTTCCTAAAGTCCCCTGGTGCAGCTTGAAACCATTCCCTCGAGTCCTGTCACCAGTTATGTGAGAGAAGAAGCCCCCCCAGCTCACTACAACCTCTCTTCCGGTAGTCTCAGTTCCCAGCAAGCCTTTGACGATACCTGATGACGATACCATCAAGAAGTCTCGTAGATCTGATAGCTTCTTCAGATGTTATATGCTTGAGGTCTTCTTCCAGGTCTGAGAAGTGTAATACATTCTGGAGCACATCTGATCCAAAGAAGCCACAGATCTTATAGGGCAATTAAACAGCAGCCTTCCAGTGGAAACTCTCAAGACTCGATGAAGCTTGTCTATGGATTTTGGAATTATACCAAAGGGTCTGTTGCAGGGTAGCAACTGAGAAGTTATGAGGCAGAAAACAGATAAGAAAAAGTCTGGCAATGGGGAACAACAGCCGTCAACCTCAGGCAAGAAAGGTGAAGGAATAAAAGGTAAGCCAAATACATTGTATTTAATGAGGAAGGAAAGCAATGACACAGGTCTAGTGAAGGGGAACAAATCTAAGAGGAAGCAACATGTGGTGCCAAAGAATAGAAAGCATCTGCAGGGAACAAAGGAACAAGGGAAGAGGACAAGAAAGAGGAGGAAGATACAAAATATGTGAGAGTCTGTTTTGGCTAAGCATCTAAACATTTAAGTGTTTATCTAAATGTCATTCTCCAGTCTTGCTGAACTTTTGCATATCACTCCCTTCTGCAAAACGAAGGTATAGCAGCTAGTCTAACATCCTTAAGGGAAGAGGAACAGACTCCTTGTGAAAGCAATCTGTAATCCTATTTGTCTGGAGCTACATGGTACTTAAAAAATATATTATGTTTTTACTTAATTAGTGCATGCCATTTGCCAGTCAGGATTCTTCAAGCTCTCACAACACAAAATTTCACAGACCATCCAACAGTTTTGCTTTAGATAGCTGTTTTGTTTTTTTTTTCCTTCCCATTTGCTTTTTCTCCAAAGTGACACCAAATACAACGTTTATAGAAAAAATGTCTCTTCTTCTGAAAAATCACGTATATATGGTTTAGTATTTGGTAAGAGCAACTCACTCATTCCAGGCTCAGTCAGATAGCTGTAGCGCTTACGTAAAGCAAGGGAGACAAAGTTCTGACGCCGGTCGGCTTTCTCCATCTGCAACAAAACATAATGCTGTTTGGTACCATCCCCCATACAAAACATCATCAAACCCCAGCACGACAGGACATCCTGCAGTACACATCCCCACAAAGGAAAACTGATGCCTCCACTCAGCTTCAGGATGGTATGCTGGAGGCAAATTTGGGCAAGCAGTGAGAAATGGACAGAGCAGATCTCCATTCCTGTCTGCCATGTAATGAGTGTCAGGTGTTGTGGAGCAGGGAGCATGGCTATCAGAGGTGGCAGGCGCTTGCTATGAACAACCACCATCCTAGAGAAAGCAGGCAAGAAGCTGCAACCCTAGGAGACAATCCCATGGACTCTTTCCTTCTCAATGTCTCTGCTCACAAGGTAGAAGAGCTTAAACAGCAGACACAGTTCACGTTGTTGCCTTACTGTATTTCAATACTATGTTATCCTACCATGACTTAGCAAACTGTTTCATACTACTACAAATGGCATGATATTTTTCATTCTCTATAAAATAAACCACCTTTGACTGGAAACAGGAGATCAACACAAAAGACTACAGATGCAGACATAGAACATTCAGAGAAGTACAACTTTGATCAAATATCTCTCCCCAAATTAATTTGTCCTGGAAGCACATACACCATGATGTACACTGGCTTTTGAGTGAATACATTCAGGACAAAAAAGGCAAGGAAGGGGATTTTTCTATTTAATAGGCACAAAATGCAAAGATGCAGATTAGAAAACAGACTACTACTGTTAACTAGTAAAGTGCTCCTTTATCCTAAGTAACTGCATTCAGTGACATAGCTGCTAGTGTGATGTCTTCAATATCAGAAGTCCTTCAGAAATCAGCTCACTCGATTGTTTAGAAACAAAACTTGTTTTAGCTATATAATAGTTCACCAGGATCAAACTCTGCGGAGGCAACGTGATATAGTTGGAGTTATTATTTTAACATAATAAGGAGTGTTTTATTTCTATTTTGGTCAGCAGGTGGCTGCTGAAGTTTGTTTTCTGCCAGGAAGAGAAAAATGGTTTAAGGGATGAAGGGATCTATCTTGTGTGGTTTCCTTCTTAAGGTGATCTCAATTACTGCCATCTTAGACTAAAACCCATTCAACTTCCTGACAATCACATGTGGCAGTTTCTGGCAAACTAGGCATTTCTAAGCTGCAAATATTTAAGGTTTATTTGAAAAATATATTTATACACGATATCTAGGAATTGCTCTTGGTTATTTTGCTTTTTTAGAATGGTTTAGTTTATTTTTAGAAATAAGATAAGAGGTCTGCTCTGAAACTAATGCCCCCTATTTTATTACATTGGCTCACGATGTCAGAGATGGATGTTGGTGGGACGGCAGTAGAGGATGAACCTTCCCACCAGTATTCTGTTGTGCTGTAACAGATGACAGCAGAGAGGCAGTCATCTAACATCGAAGTGTGTATGAAACAAAGGTGTATCACTGAATTCCTCCATGTGGAAACAATGGCACCCATTCACATTTATCAATGATTCCTGAACATTTATGGAGACCAAACAGTGCATGTGAGCACTGCGAGGTAGTGAGTGGTGCATTTCAACAGTGGTGACAGCAGTGTGAAAGGCAAGCCATATTCCAGATCACAGAATCACAGAATGACCAGGGTTGGAAGGGACCTCAAGGATCATGAAGCTCCAACCCCCCTGCCACATGCAGGGCCACCAACCTCCACGTTTAGTGCTGAACCAGGCTGCCCAGGGCCCCATGCAACCTGGCCTTGAACACTTCCAAGGACGGGGCATCCACAATCTCTCTGGGCAGCCTGTTCCAGTACCTCACCACTCTCTGGGTAAAGAATTTCCCCCTGATGTCCAACCCAGATGACCATCTACAGATGTCACATCACAAAATGAAGAGTGTCTTGGTCCCCTCACATGCACAGATCAGTGGACTGCAACCAATGAACTGCATACAGAGCTGCTTACCAGCTTCTACGCATTGAAAATGATGGTGGCAAACCTAGAATATTGCAAAGCTTGTGCCAAGTGAGTCCCATGAATACACACATGGGAAGAGAAAGAATAGTGTATGCAAGTTTGTCAGGATCTATTCAACCAATCCAAGTCTGAAGGTGACACGATGCAATGTCATCACTACAAGCTGTACCCAAAACAGCTGTCCACGGAGTGGCAACACGTGAATTTCCCATTGAAGAAAAAGTTCAAGACACAGCTCTCAGTGGGTAAAGTGATGTTCACTGTTTGCAATAGGAAATAAGTGATCCTTCTGTATTTAGTGGAACTCAGACAAACCATCGACCTTGACTGCTATATTACAACACTGACTAAGCTGCACGCTCAAACTTCCAGAGTCAGGCCAGAAGACAACCTTTCTCTTGCAACAGAATAACACCAGGCCTCGTGTTAGTTTAAAGATCATGGAGCACATAGCCATTTTAGGTTGGAATGTCCACTGTATAGCCTGGATTTGGTGCTTTCTGACTTCCACCTGTTTGGGCCCATGAAAGATGGGACTGCATGAGCAACATCCTTCCAGCAACAGTGCTGTCATAGCAGCTGTGAAACAGTGGCTCACCTCCACTAGTGCAGATTTTTATGAGTGCAGCATGAGGGCTCTCGTTCATTGCTGTCAAATGTGCATAGCTACTGGAAATGATTGTGTTGAAAAAGAATGTTTTGTAGCCAAGGTTTTGCTCTATCAAATAGTGTTATTGTATTCTTTGTAGTTGTTGTAGTTTCCATGGAAATACATAGGAGGCATTACTTTCAGAGTGCCGTCCATACTATAGGCCATTGTTTTAATACCTTCTCAGATATGTGAGTTATCAAAACACTGGCAGTATTATTCCAAGAGCTAAAAATCACACAGTAAGCTCTGTGATTTTGCCAAAAATAGCCTTGGTCATTACTTTGTAATGATGCCATTTTTTTCAGAAGAAAATTAGTTAAATGTTAGACTACTGTTATTCAACACGTAGTTTATTTTTATCACATATAGTCCTGTTTTCTACATTTGTGAACTGTTTTGCAACATAATATAAGATGCTGAGGAAATGGTTATTCTGTAAGTATTACTTCAATGCCATAGCTATTTCTTTTCTATAACATATTTACTGTTCTTCACTAAATCTGAAGAAAATAAAACAGAAGACAGTGTTTATATTACCTCATCATCTTGATCTGACTCTGTTTCCTTTTGGTCCCAAGATGCATTGCAGAGACAAGGAATATTATAATGGACAGCAGGGAAAAGAATATCAGGATATGAAAAGGACCAGATTGGGAGCACAAAATGCAAGCTGATTTATAAGGCAAAGCAAATCCAAAATGCCAACACACACATAAAAAAAACTTACATCTACCGCAAATTAACATGTGACATTATTGAAAGCATAAACCTACGACTTGCAGGCTGAAGCATGAGCTGCAAACAGAATCATAAAAAATACAGGAACTTGACACCACAGTAACAAGAGACTTTAAAAGTGTTCTACAGGAAACCAATAAAACATAAATGTAAAGTCTTAACCATACTCCAAAGCATTCTCACAACTGGCATTTCACAAGTTTTCTTTATCACTAGCAGAAAAAAGACAAAGACTAGAAGAGCAAAAATAAAATCAAACCAACTCTAAGGACAATGTTTCCTAACAAATACCTTTTTGTGTGCTGGCAAAGTGATATTCAAGTTGCAAACAGCTGTTTGTGGCAGTCCTTTGGTAGTCTTTGGTTCTTTCAAAAATGATAATCGACCACAGGGTTCTTGGCTGGTGTCTCTTACCTAGAAAATAAATGTTAGTGATTTGCAGTAATTCACATATGTAGGGGAGGTTTCTGAAGGGTTTCTCTGAGTGTCCTTTCACAAGAACCTATCTAATGTTAGCGAGCTGGGGCTCGGTCTTCCCTCTGAGAAAGAAAAAAAAGAATTACCATAAATGAGTTACATCAGCCTGAAGCTTCCTGAATAGAAACAAGCTCCTGAAATCCATGTAAGAAAAGATGCTGAGTGAGTCCAACCAGATAGCAACATCCTAGTATAAAAATGATTACATTTTCAGCTCACCTTCATTTTTCTCTGCAGTGTTTTGCACTTGTGTTCAAAACCTATTTGTTTATATTTTTTTCTCACAGAAACAAGGCTAACAAAAGCTTGCATCCTTTCATGGTAATTTAGAAGTGAAGAGTTTGCATGCATATTTTGGGGATTGTTCTGCTGCACCTCTTCTTAGTCCCTGGAACACTGTGATCTAACACTGCTACTGTGGAGGTCTAACACATATGGTTTTGTTAGAAGTTTGAGAGTCCTTATCATGGGTTTTCTGGTCCTAGCTCTGTCAGCAACTCTCTTGTGGCTTCATGCAAAGCACCATCTCCACACTATTCACATATTAAACAATGACACTCACACCCTTGGGGTAAGTTAGTTCTATCTGGCTGAAAAAGTGTTATCACAGAAAAAATAAAGATCTCAGCAGATTTAGTTGGCTTGTTTTCTTTTACCTTGATAGAGAATGGCAGTCTATTTTCTTTGAAAGCGTAAAAATTAAAAACAAGCTGCTGTCCTCCTTTAGTCAAAGGGGCAAGATTTCCATAGCAATCAACGTAAATAGGCTTTCCTTCCAGAACCTATCAAAGTAATAAAAGTCAATAAAATCTCTTTTCATAGTAGATCCATGCAAGTAAATATAGCATTATTTCCCCCACCACAGTTCCTGAGTTTAGCATAAGCCCCTATTCAGAGTAAATTCAATGACAAATTACAGTCAGTGAGCATTATTGCAAGGTATTTTGAGTGCTGGCAGTTTGAGAAACTGCTACATGAGCAGCTTTTCTTCAAGAGACACTGTGTTGTTGCCAAAGTATTCACCACAGACCAGCTCTACCTGAAAAGCATGTCTGTGAGATTGGTGAGAAAGAACTGAAGGTCAATTTTCTTCAAAACCTTAAGATACTTGATACAACAGGTGCAAAACCCACCACAGACTAGCATCCATCCATGAGGGCACACCCTCATGCTTTCTCTACTTATTCTCTCTTGATATCATCTCAATAATTTTTTTGACATAGTCTTGCTGTGAACCTTTATTTAACTGAGTTTACAGTGGCTTTTGTAGGATCTACTGCCATTTGGAAAACACACAATCTGCTCATAAGGAGGAAACCAGCTGTAAGAAATATACCTCAATGTCTTTGCTTCTTGCAACTTCTTCAAAATTCTCCTGTTGCTCCAAAGTTTTGTCCACTTTGTCATCAGTCATGCAGAAGCAACGCAAATTGGATTCTACAGGGTCATTCATTTTGGCAAATATAACAAACTTTGCCATGTAAGGAACACATATTAATTCTCTGTAAAGCTGCGTTGCCAGCCCAACAGTCTCTAGTACTTGATGGCAGTCTGCAAGCCAAAATCTGAATGGGAAACAGGAAATTGTTAAATTAACTCTTTATTATGTTCAAACATAAGCCTTTAAAAAGAAAGCATGACCTATGATTTTTTTTGTCTGCTTGGCATGTGTACTGTCTCTTCAGGTATCCCAGAGCTGTGATTTTTCTTCTGTTTTCAATAGAGCCTTAAACATTCAAAAATGTGAACACCTAGCAGTGAAAGGTTGATATTTGTACTTGTCCCTTTCTATGTAAACTGTTTTTGTGAGGCAAAACTGTGCAAACAGCATATTTTTTGTGACCATATGCTATGTATATTGTAACTTGCTGGCGCTTCACTGTAAATTTGATTGTTAGGAAATCTTTGCCTAAACAGCTGCTTTGATAACACATACATACAACAAAATCATATTTCCCACCTAGACTGACTCCAAATAAGCCCTTAGTTCAGTTTCTCAAAGAGATATTATACTATAATTTCCTCCTTGCAAGATTAAGAGCTTGGTAACAATTTTGATAAAACTCAGAAATATTTTCATCCGTAGTTCATACAAGTCTTCCTTCAATATTACAGTCCTAACGCATTCGGTTTGTTCAGCCATTTGCTCCCTCTATAAAGCTCCTTGTACATGCAAATGCCATGCACCAAATGATAAACTCTTTACCTGGCATACAAATTTTCTCCCCCAGGATGTGTGATTTGTACTGAATGTCTCCAGACATCATGCAAATCCACTACGTCCATTGCAATTCATTTAAAACTTTGATTTTTTTTTTTCCCCACAAATGATATTTTTGTGAAAGTAATTTCACATCATCTTCAACTTAAAAGCCAAGGACCAGAAACTGAACCCCTTCTGCATTTTAAGAAAATATACTTCTATGAGTCCTCCATATTCTTTTACTGAACGACCATTTAAAACTTTCCTCTTCTGTTGCTGTTTGCAGAAAAACAAACCCATGTGTGGCACTGCAACCTTTAGCAAAACAGCATGTGTGACTGCCAGGAGACAGCTCCCAGCAGAAAAGGCCAAGACAAAACTTCATGTGCAACCTTAAGTGCCTGGCATGCTGATACACAGTGACAAAGAAGCATCTGGTTCATTATCGCTTCATCAGTCTTGTAAAAGTCTTAGTGAAAGCGGAAAAAAAACAAACCCACCACCATCATAAATAACCCCTTCCCTTCCTTTCTCACAACAATGCACACTGTTAATCACAGAACACTATTCTCTGGCAGCATTTGACAAATTCTGCTACCTTACCTGGCTGAAACATTGGTTGTGAAGGAGACACAGTCATTAGAAAACGTCAGAGGAGTTGTGCCTGTGATGTCCTCCCACTGCGCAGGTGAAGTACCTCCTGTGTACATATATATACATAAACCATATGTATAAACCATAAACCATATACACCATCTATAAACCATAGAGATATTTTCTTTCAAACATCAAGCAAATGCAGACTATGTAGAACATTTCAGTCAAAATACTTTGCTTCACACAGCAAATGACTGCACAGACTATCATGTTTTCCAACAGGTAAACTACATGTTACAGATTTAACGTATGTTAAATACCAGGAAATGGTGTGATGTCAGAAAGGTACATTCCCTACAGTCAATAGTGAAAGTCTCCCTTTGATATCAGCTAAGCAGAATTACTTCGGCAAACTAATTTATTGATAACTATATGTAATAGCCAGGTTGAAATTCTTTGTACTAGCTAAATATAAAGGAGTATTTATTATCTGTTGTCCAGAGTTCTTTTAAAACAGCATGAGACAAGACTAAAGGCCCAGGGAAAAAGTGAGAGGCTTTCAGGTGACCTGAGCTGGCTTTGCCCAGAGGAACTGATCTGAAATCTACTGGACCAACCAACTTCCTGTTACTGGAAGGAACAACTTATACAGCTATATGAGTGGGTACAGAGGCACTGTTGCCACAGAAAGCTTTTCAAAGAGCATGATTTTCTCTAACCTGTAATGCTACATAAAAGTCGAAGGCTGGGTGTCGTGTCTCCTTTGTACCCATTGGTTACACCTTCTCCTGATGGAGGTGGCACAGGAATTGTCATGGTTATTGGCTTATGAAATTTTCTTCTTCTTGGCTCCACTGTGACAATGGGACTGAAAGTTGCCTTGTTTCCAAGGATTTTCTTAACAATTTCCTCTGGAACTGGTTGAGCCTGTCAACATAGAGAAAACAGTTTAAAGAAGAGCTACAAATTGACTGTACACACGCAGAACTGTTTTCCAACACATAACTTTATTTTCCTTAAATTTTCTCCAGAATTTTATTTCATCTTCTCTTATAGCTCTCGTGTGATTAGTAGTACAATTCATACTTCAGCATTATTCTTAAAAGCCCACTTGTGATTTCCTAAGAACTAACTTTGTTGATAAAAGCTATAAATCTCAGAGGGCTGTCTGCAGTTTTTGCTGAGAAGTTTTCAGAGCTTGCTCATTTGAAATTTACTGTGATGTGTGACATCACAGAAAATTTCAAAATGCAAGTGCAGCCTTATTTTGTTACAAGGGTCTTGAGAGGTGAGGACTACACACACTCTCTCAGATGCTGAACAGTTCTCACATCTCTGCATCTTCTCACTTCTTTTTGTGCACAAATCCATGCACAGAAGGAACACCGTGTACCCCTGATCTGCCTTTGTCTTCAGTGCTTCATATGCTATTTTGCTATCAATTATTAGTAGACAAATATTTGAGTCAAATTTATACAGAATACAAATAGTTGCCTTAAGCTGAGCTATAAGTGATTTTCAGACTTTCCACATCCATTTTTGTACCTTCAGAGATTTCTTAACTTTTTACTGGTAGAAAAAAAGAATGAGTACAGGAAGAAATGCTGTAGAATTTTAGCAGTTTTTGTTATCTGAGATTTGAACTCAGAACTAACATGGGTTTTTGCAATTGCTTTTTAAAATAAATTCAACTCCCTATTTAAATCAGGCTGAACTGTAACTTGCTGCATTAAACTACAAATTGTATTGATATTCAAAGAATAGGTGGTCATATTGCAATTTCAACAGTGATAACACTGCATGTGGAGATAATATGTTTCCTTCACTCCAGCTAGCTCTGGAAAGACAGCTGAAGAACAGTAACAGTAGAGCTTCCAGTTTCTCAGGATTAATAGTCTTTCTTTGAAATATTGTTAGCAGATGAGAAATGTTCCAGGGTATGAGGAAAGGCTGAGTAATCTGGATCTGTTGAGCCTGGGGAAAAGAAGACTGAGAGGGGATCCAATAAATGTATATAAATATCTAAAGGGAGGTGGGAGGCAAATGGATGAGGCCAGGCTCTTCTTGGGGGTGCAAAGAGATAGAAATAAGGTGTAACGGCCTAAAGCTCAAACATAGGAAGTTCTATACAAACATGCAGAAGAATTTTAAGGTAGTGGTGACAGCACTGGAACAGGCCGCCCAGAGGAGTTGTGGAGTTTCCCTACCCGTGTGACCTATTGTAGGGTACCCGCTTTGACAAGGGGTTGCACTCAATTTCTTGAGGTCCCTTCCAACCCCTGCAATCCTGTGATTTCCAAGCACTGGGATTCAAACCAGCATCCCTGTTTCATGAACCCATCACACTCATCAGGTTATTAAGAAATTTTAAGCAATAATCAACAGAACTCAATGAAAAGATACATTCTACAAAGTATTTCTCCACTTTTCAGGCAGTTTGTTCAAGGACAGGTCAAGCTATTTGCTCCTTCCAGATTCCATCCACTGCTAGAAACACCATGACCTAAGCTACAACAGATGTATATAGAATGTACATAGCTGCCACTTAGCCACAGGAGACCGGACTGCAGAGCAGCTGTGCAGCTCACAGGAGACTGCCACTAAGGCTTGTTGTGGCTCCAGACCTTTGCCTATTCTCTCCATCCTAAGTGATATGCCAGGTGACAATAAAAGAGTAGCTAGGTTTTTGCCACACAGTGGAGGACCGTCCTTTACCCACAGCAAAGAAGCACAGAGCGCACAGGTGACAAGATGATGAGGGCACCCTTACCTGGAGTCCCACACGGATTCTTTTGGTTAGAGCACCCTCGGGGAAGGACGCCTGGACACGTGGCACCGTTGTGCTGCTCAGCACGCCGCCCTCTGGGCCAATTTGGTTACTTTCTTGCTTGATTCGTGAAACCACTGCAAAGTACTGAGGGAAATCCTTTGTGACAATCCTACAGATACGCTTCTTCTCTAGCTCCTCAACACTGTCCAGCTCTGGAGGGAGAAGACAGGTAAAACAGGCTCATATCAGATATATCTACCAGCTTGCAAGGTTTTTAACTTGCATTTATATCTTGAGAAGATTTTAAACATTTATTTACTATAGGAAAAACAAACACAACAGTGCTATTAATTATCAAGCATTGGTTTGCTCTGGGAACTTTTGCATATATCTTAACTCTCAAGCTCTCAGCACTGGACACACAGATATGCCAGAACACTGAAGCACATGACAGCTGCCCTGGGATGGCAGGTTGTTCACTGGAGCCCACTGAGATGCAGAGGAGACTGTCAAGCTTCTTTTCTCTCATTTACATCTGGAAGCACAGAAGTAAACTGATCATTCTGAGTAAACTTTCCAGAGATGTTTATTTCCTGCCTCCTCCCTCACACAGCTCTGGCACACAGAAAAGCACAGAAAATTGCAGGCAGTTCATGAACAAACTGTACACCAAGTGTAAAGACACCTGGAACAGAAACAGGACAGCAATAAGGAGAGCCCAGTGCCACATTCCCAGCACATAGGGTCACCAGAGTGCAGAAAGGGGCATAGTATATCCACTCATAGCAATTAAGTAGATCTTATGTAAGTATGTGCACAGAGGAAAACTGTGATGTGCGACAGCTACGAAACTGTAGCTATGTGTATATATATCCCCTAATGAAATCTCCGTGATACAGACAAAGGCAGGTAATTACATGACTGTCATGCATTTCTCGTGTAATTTTGTTACACTCTACCTTCTTAGATATTTCTGGGCTTTCCTCCAGCACTCCACAAGATGCCACTCTTATTTTCCTCCTTAAAAAAAGTACCATGATTCTAAACAAGAAAGTTCACTGCTCAGAAGATGACATTTCTACCAGATGCAGTAAGAGAAAGCTGGAGGACCAAAATAAGTACTATGACAATGGACACTTGTACAATTATTTACTTGGCTGAGACATTTTGCTCCTCTGAGCATGTAAGCTCAATTTCAAGTCCAAAAAATTTGAATATAAATTTGGTAAAATGTCAAGTTTTCCATTTTAAAACCTTCAATGGCTAATTTAAATTAATTGCTCAGTGTTACTGTGGATCATACAAACCTACCAGAAGAGGATAATTTCTTATCATAATGTCAGCTTCCATTTACTTTGACTCAGAGATGATATCTGAAGCCCCCTAATTAATTAGGTATTCTGCCTGCAGCCTCTGGAAGCAATGGCTTGTGCTGGGGACAAACTGGATTCTTAAATTCCCAGGCAGGTATAATCTTGATTGGTAAATCCTGTGTGTTCTTGCGTCAGTTGCTGGAGAATAAGTGCACTGTAAAATGCTCACTGAGATAGAGGATAATTAAAATTCTCCTGCAGTAGAAATTTTTATATAAGAACAAAGCCCTCTGAAAGCCCTCTGTAGCCTGGCAGGCACTCTCCTTTAGAAATGGAAGATGCACAGATAAGAGTGGCAAAACAACAGCCAGGCATGGTGAGGAGTTTGATCACATACACGGAAATTATGTTGGATATGTATCTGAGCTTTTACATGGATTTGCCCCCTAGAAAAACAAAGAAAGGAAATAAAAAATAAGACCAGAAAATGAACAATCTTTAGCTGCCTCTCCACACATGTAAAGAATGCAGCATTAGCATGACAGAATTAAAGAAACAGAGACAACACGGCTTGGGAAAGTCACTTTCCCAAACACACCTCATACATTTTACAGCTACAGAAATACTCCATCATTACTATTTTCCTCACCAGCTGATGCTTCATTACTGTGCAGTGCATTTCAATTAAAAAACTGAAAGGTTTTGTTTTCTTATACTTAAATCACAGAGGAAATACGCTATACACCTCATCTTACAGCAAAACAGAGAGAAATAAAGCAGAAAAGTAATGGCAGAATCGGGAGCATTCTTCCAGTGTCATGCTCTGGTATTGTGCTAATAGTCCAAAAAACACCTACTGCCATTAAGTTTTGGTAGGTCAACAGAAGGGTACACGCGTGCTCCTTGCAGAGGTCTTCTCCTGCCACCCAAATGTAAGATATGCTTATCCTAACGTAGCTGGTGGGAGCAAGTACCCAGAGATGAGGATAGAGGAAAGGAAAGGAGAGAGAAAGAAAGATTGCTTCTGTAGTCCCTTCAGCCCACTTGAGTGCTATAGGTCCTGGACAGGAGAGGAGAAATCTAGTTGTGTCCTCTAGGATCAGAGGGGGACCTCACGTAGGCTAGCTCAGGTCAAGGACAGCAATCACACCAGTTCTGCCAGGTGTGAGGCAGCTGTGGATCAAATTAATTCCTTCTCTGATTCTTTCTTACATTCAGGTAAAGTGTTTTCTGACTGCAAATGGAATTAGAGAAGTCCCAGAACACCTGCTTCATGACCTTCAAAGTGTCTTTATGTGATCCAGGATTGTACTTCTCTTACTACGGCCATACAAGTTTTGCTCACGTCTAAAAAGTAAATCCCACAGTTATTTAGCAGACCAAACAGCTCTTGGAGTTTTGCAACCCTCCTACAGCTCTGGTTAGAGCAGAGCTGACCTAGTCGCTGTACAGACAATGAAAGACAGAACAAACTTATGACACCAGTTTCTCCAGTAAGGAAACTGTTGTAATAAAGACGAAACACCCAGCAGGCAGTGCTCACATGGAAAATTACTGGAGATGGACAGATGCAAAAAGGGGAAGGGGCAAAGAAAAACAGAGAGTGCTGACACTTAAAAATGCTGGCAAGTCACTCTCTCAGCTTCACTATACAGAACTGGACACTTCCAATACCACAGCTAGCAAGGAAGTCTCATCTTCAAATGAGGCAATGTTCTTTACATACTCCTTTGCCTATTTAAGCAGTTTCTTATCTTGCTGTTCACAGCATGAGGTTTAACAGTGGTAAGTTTAAAAGCTTTTCTTGGAAACGTGGCAAAATCACTGCAGCGATTTATGGCGGTATTTTAAAATTCAAGCATAAACAAGGTCATTCTGGTCTTATCTGTAGATTTGAAGAACTATTTATGCAAAGACTCCTGCTTCACATCTGAAACCACACTGTGCAGCTGCAAGCATACTGTAGCCACAAATACATGCATTGCTTGGCTCACTCACTAGCTTGCAATTGTCCATCAAAAGTTTAGCTACCCTGGTGTGTGCATTTATGCTCACAGTTTGTCTACAGGTATAGAAAGGTCCCTGTAAAAGGAGCAAGAACGTAAAAAGCAAACACACATTAGACCTAAAAGAAGACCTGATTAAATGTAACCTATTTATAAGACAGAGAGCTTTTTCCTATATATGTATGTACACGCATATATTTTACTTGATTTTATTTTAAATAAACGTACTAGAGGTAAGAGCTGTGAATTACTACCCTCACACCCAGAATCAAGCTCATTCTATTCCAAAAAGGAACCCATGTAATGCTGATGCAACTACAGGTATAGCACTATCTTCTGAAAAAAATTAATTAAACAGAATTAATAAAATTAATCTAAACAGAAACCTGATGGTACCAAAGGAACTGACTCTTTGCATCACAATATACTGCTCTTCCATGGTAATAAAAGTTTTGCCATTATTTAATTCTACATTTAGTACCCTGAAGTATTGCCTCCTGTTCTGGATTATTGTGAGTCTCTGACAAGTTTTTCCAGCAGATGGTGCTGCTTCCAGTAAAGAACAGGCAGATTTTCAGTAGTCCCCACGGAGGGAGAGCAAAGATGTCCTCACTCTCATCCCCGCTGGCTGAGCAGAGCAGAGCAGGGAAAAGGACAATTAAACCAGAAAAGCAGACTGCATCTTTAAAAGTCAGCACATCAACTAGTCGAGAACACAAGTCTGACTGTGCTCCTTCCACACAGATAGAAAGAACCACTGAAACACAGCATGTCTAACACATAATAGAACAACTGCTTTTAACAGTTTTTTCTGCTTTTAACAGAAAAAATGGCTATTCCTGCAGCATGTTATTTGGAGGCGACTGCGTGAATTTCCGTCCAGTGAGACATTAAATTTTTAGAAATTACTGAGCATCTAGATGGTCATCTTTTTACTTCAGTTCAAAGATTGCTTCTGCCTCCAGATTTCATACCTGGAATCAACTTCTTCCAAAGCCATGGCTTCTGAGATACAAAACATTGCTTCAGAGCCAAGTCCAACTGAGATATATCACAATAATCCAGAAAAAAATAAGATAAAAAATGCTTGTAATTCTAGAAATCTGCATTTTATGTCAGCACTTGGAATTTTTTTTTAAGTAGAAAAGGTCTCCTTTGAGCAGGACAGAATTTTGTCAAGGCCCTTGTACTATTTTAATTCAGGGTTTTTTGTTTCTTTTTCTTTCCCAATTAAAGAAGGATTTAGAGAAAATGAATTGAACGAGTAATCAACACAGTGCTCTGAGCACACACTGAGCAACACACTGCTCATGACCGCAGTATTTATTTGTCCTTTTTCTCTCATAAATGATTGTCTGTGTTGGTAGACTACTTTTCTGTAGCTTGGAATTTAAGATGCCTAGTGCCCATGGTACTTTCCGTGACTCAGACTGTACTTAGAGCACTAATTTCAAACAGCAGTACCCTGGAAGGTAAGAGCCACCTGAAGTCCTTAGGAGTTGTAATCTGGCTCCAAATTTTGAAGCTTATTATTTTACGCTCCAAGTACAGAAGAGTCCATGCCCACCTCACCCAAAGTGATTTTATTTTCAATACGTGATTTTTCTATATGGCACCTCTGGGACCTCTTTCATAAGCAGTGTGAGTTGGAGCACTTCAGAACAGTGCTTTGTGCCTAGATTTCCTATTCCCAAACTGAACTCAACTCAGCTTGGAAAGCACACAAAGCAAATGAGCAAATTGTTAATCATTTCTGACTACCTCATCATGGACAAGGCACAGATACCTTACCCAAATGCCAAGCCTTTATTTCCTGTCTCGTATTGTAGTGCACAGAGAAGCAGCCGCCGCTGGTGAGATCTTTCGTTCAGAAAGGCTACTGCCTTCAATTCTGGAGCAGTTCTTACCTAAGCAACACCATCCTTGGTCATGCTTCACTGCTTTTAGGTACTTTTCTGTGACAAGATTTATCACATTTTTCCAAACCCAGTGACCCAACATCCGCAGCGTTTCTGCCTCAGAGCTTGTTGGTTCTATTAGATTTATTATACAGCTACATTAAGTAGTCATGTAATGAACACATCCTCCTCCTCTTTTTACATGCTTAGGTGCAGCTCAAGTAGTTCAAAATGACAATATTACACTAGCCCATTCTGCAAATTCCTATCTCAGATATCCAGATGCTAATCTCATATCTCAGATGCCCAGGGAACCTCTCACAACTGTTTTCCTTTCCATGTTTTCAAAGCTCGCTTTTTACTAAGGCTGCCCTCTTTAAACAAGGGAGACCAAGATCAAAGGCAGAGCTGGCTCACAGATAATTCTCATAGCTGCCATCCAAATCTGATCATTATCTTCAAACACTTCTGCCAATGATGGAAGAACTTTCCTGCAGCTTGTACCTCACTGCACAGTGACTTTCTGGAAGATGTTATCCACAGAAAATCCTGTGGATAAACCCTTATAGAAAAATGAAGTCCAAACTTCAGGCCATTTCATTCACAGTCAGATGCAAAGAGCTAGAGTAATGTTTTATCAACACAAGCGCTGAAAAATACTTGCTGGGAAAAGAAAGCAGTGGTGCCAAGGACTCTCTGCAGCCCCAGCCTGGCCTTGCTCACAACACGTCCGCAGGGACCATCTGTCACAGCATCTTCTGATGCACTGAGTACAGCTGAGCCCTCTCTTCTTCAGGGACTCTCACAAACATCCATATCCACACAAAACAAGGGAGCCAGATTTCCCAGATGGACACTGAGGCAGCAGGTTGTGTATCTGTGGGAGATGACCTCTAACAATAGCGATTCTAAGAAGAATGGACTATAGGCTGAGGCCTGCATCTGTAGGAAAACTGAACTGAACTGATAGTTACCTTTGGCTTGGAATGACCTTCACATGGCCCCATCTGAGCTGAAGAAACACACTTACCTCCAGCTGGGATGTTATTCTCAGCTCTGTGCTGTAAAGCAACTGTGCAGCTTTGCTTAAACTTGGCACAACTTCAGACCAAAGCTTAAGATTTATTCTAGGATGTCTCCAGGCCAGTGCTGAACCATTTCTCTATACAATCTTTCCATTTGTTTAACAGGTAACATACTGTATTCCCCAAAGTCAGATATCCTCTGCTCTGTTTTATTTTAGGTTACTTCAGTCTACTTACATTAGCAAGCCCTAAGAAAGATAAGGCCTGCTAAAACTGTGAGAAAATGTTTACCTTCATCCATGCCATTGAGTACTTCAGTTAAGTCTTCGTGCTTGCTGTCATACTGGTGCTCCTTCCACGTTTCACCATTTTCACTTCGAAGTACGATTAACTCTCTTTCCTTTCCTCGCATTGATCCAAAATGTGGGATTTCCACTATGACAGGACTAGACAAAAAAATAATCAAATTATTTTTAAACCATGCAACTCCCTACTGCCATTAATTTTCCTATGGGTGTTAAATCCTTAAGAAAACTACAATCATTTTAAATAGTAAGCATTGTTACAGAAAAAGTGCTTTTAAAATTGCCAAAGCTGCACAATCCTTTATCATTTAAACTGTAGATAATATATAACTTGATAATATTCGTACATAGCTCATTTTAAACATAAATCTCTTCAAATAACTGCCTAATGAAAAAAACATCCACAAATTTTGCTGAAGACCATTCTCCCCGTGCATTTATCCCAGGATGTGGGTGAACCAACCCTGCCTCCACAACATGCAGCACTGCTGACTTTCAATTGGCATTATTATAGCCAAAATTTGGAGTTGGTTCAAGGAATTTAAAGGAATCAACTTAGTTCAGCAACAGCCCAGCTATTCGAATGCATGCAAATGCTATTGACTGCAGCAGAAATTGTGTGAGCATGTAGCTTTTAGATTTCAAACCAAGTCTCAAACTTTACAAACAGGTTTTTTTCTCATTAGTTTCACTTTCTGGTTCTCATGCCCAAAATCACAGCTGCAGCATCTGCACTATAAACATCACCAGGGAATGTTTAGATCCTTACAGAATGGATTTCTCTGAGTTTAGCAACACTGCAACCACATTTAGATAAGTTACTGTCAAACATTCTGGGGGAAGGAAGGGGGACAGGAAGGTGGTTAATAGTACACCTATGTCACCAGACAATATACCTTCAACAGAGGACTGCAAGTGCATTACTGAACAATAGTTGTGAACAACTGACAGAAACCACCATTCACTTCATGTGCCATTCCTGAACAAAACAGACACTTTTGCCAAACACTTCACAGGCAAGATATGCATTTTAAAGTATGCTAAGACATCTGACTGAAATCACGCAGTAAGTGAACAACTATGGATTATGCAGCTTTAAGACATTTAAATAGACAGTATCATCATTTTCCTACAGAGGTTGTAAAATATTTCACCTCTTTGTTTCACTCAGTTGAAAGAAACACCACATGATGGGAGGAGTATGCAGCACTTCTGCACTACCAAACACCAGCCAAGGTGCTAGGCTGCAGTAACCAATCGATTATTTGAGTACAGAAATCACAACAGCCATCGTCAGGAGAAAATATAAATTGGAAGAGCCAGATTTCATACTCTACACTGTTTGTCCCCACAGAAATTATCAAAAGGCAGTTTAATTTATACGTATTTTAGATGCTTTTAAGAACACCCAGGCTGTTAATCCAAACTTGAATCTTTTAACAAGAAATAGAAATGTATCTGCTGCCTCACTGTGCACAGCAAATAAATACAAAAAATTCAAATACATATTCAGATATTTACTCTCTAGTTCAAAAGGAGTCCGAACTGAAAAACTAACACTGTAGTACAATCTTTGCAGGCTAATATTTCAGATACTGTCTCTGTAAATATTTAGAAACCACACAATTTTGTGCATGACATTTAACAAGAATACTCAGTGAGAAGGTATTAAACAGGTATTGAACACCAAACACTCACCAATATTTTGTAAACCTAATGCAGTAAATTTCACAGTATGGTTTGAAAACAACATCAAAAATGTATGGAAACATTCTTACATTTTAGACCATACCCTGCAGCTCCTTTGGGTTGCATTCTTGGCGTTAAAAATCTATTTTAACAAGATGACTCTTGCAGTTTGAAAATAATAGTATCTCTTCAGCCTTGTTAAAATAAAGTTATTCACTCAATGAGATCTTGAATAATCTTTTATAAATAATAGACTTTATACGACCACATTTTACAATGCTCTTCCCAAAACAGACTCACTCAAGGCCTGTAAATACCTTCTCTACTACAGGGTTGAAATTAAAGGACTGTCACCGTGTATTAAAATGTATTTGATGCAGTTGAAACACTTCAAATTTAAAAAATTACAAAAGCACAGAAGTTATGAAAGCAGAATGCTGGCAGTGAATTTTACATGCCTGTAAGCACAAGGTAGTAGCAGAGCTATATTAAATCAAGCCACTATGATTTTCTTTCAGTGACATAAGTCAACTGAAAGCTTTAGAAAACTAAATAAATAAATAAATGGGAATAACGAAAAATTGGAAACAAAAGAAAAACTGTAGACATTCTGTATCTTTTCCGTATATATCCTACCCAATAAATTTTGTTCCTTGTGGACCAAGCTGCAGGATTCGGCTAACCATGCTCTCGCCCTCATTTAGAGGGGGAGGAGATTTAGGAAGATGCAGTTTACTGAATAACATCCATGCAGCAGGAAGAGAAACAAGAAGGGGAAATTAGGAACAAGCTGTCATTCCCAACAGAACCGGCAGTTTACACCAAGGTGCCACTCACGGTAATGAACAAAATTTATAATTAGGAAAAAAAAAAGCCACATCATAGTGGATTGTTTCCCCTATTTTAAGCTTTAAAAAATGTTAGTTCTTAGCATTTGTGCTCCTTGATTCTCTATAGTAAGTGCTCTGCCATCACCCTCCGTGGCCTTGCTACGTGGGAGGAAGAGAAGCAGCTCGCAGCAACTTGGGCAGAAGCCATGTATGCACTATGGCACAGGGAACTGAGCTCAATGTTTGGGCCCCTGTGACTGTTTAGGACGCACTTCTGTGACAGTGACATCTCTCTGGCACTCTGTGAGCGAGAGGGTCAAAATGTGCTCTGGGTTACAGGCTCACGAGTCCTCCTGACTTCAAAAGGAGGTTGCACAAGTAGCTGGGGGCAGGGATCCGGCCTTTTCACGTCTTTCCTTACCTTTGGCTTCTCCCTGCAGTCATCATAGAGGCAAAGCTCATCTTAAAACACAAAGGTACTTTCAAGATAGGTACTGCAGTTTGGCTTTTTTTTTTTTTTTAAACTATTTTAAGATAAGTAACCTAATCCTACATGGCCAAATGAGGTAAAGTCAATGTTTAACTTCTTAGATCCACAGAATAACAGAAATGGAAGATGCAACACCAGTGTGAACAATGAAATTCATAGAAGAACTCACCCTAAAAACTGTGCCCCTGCCGGCCCCATTTCTACAAGTCTACTTGCTAATCCTTCTCCTTCAACCATTGGTGGTGGGCTGGCCAGCTTATGCCTCTTTACCAAGCGGCAGGTGATGCGGGTTGGTGCTGTGCATTTGCGTGGTGGGATGATAATTCTCATTCCATGATGACGACTACCTCTCATCGAACCCCCGCGGGCATCGACCATAAAACTAACCAGGAAACTGCAGGGAAAAGGAAACAAGTCATTAAAACTAGTCATAAAATAAGCAGGGAAAACATCAGCAAAAAGTCAACTGCCACAAACTTAAAAGCTTATCGGAAAAGTCCTCCCAGTCCCACATAAACTAAGAAGAACATAATAATTTATTTATACTTACATGTTAACTATTGGTTAAGAAAAGCAGGAATTTCTAAAGGTCTAGCAATATTATAGTGAAATATCAGGTGAATGATCAGGTGCTATTGAGTAATTTGGATTAGAGAGTTCACAAGTAGCATATTAGTAGTGTCGTATTAGAATTTAAGATCAGCCCTCTGTTATTGTTATCTCTACTGTCCAAAAATAAGTAATGATCCCCACATGCAGAAAGGAACCAGACAGCGTAGAAAATGGAGAATCAAAAGTGCACATTGTTGTAGGGGTCTCAGCCTTCACAACCTCCTCAAATTCTCATCTGCAAACACTTCTGCTGGCTGACAGAGAGTGCTGGCACTGTGGGTGACAGTTGGAGCTACAGTTGCTTCCGCTGATGGGGAACGAGTAAGAATATCAGGAATGTAACTAGCTTTAGACTGCTGGCACTCTTGAGAAAACCATGCCATTAGCCCTCTGTGAAGATGATGTTCCTTAGCAAAAAGCTGCATTAGGGGAAAAAACATTCTTTCCAATGCCAAATTTTCCAATTAATAATTAAAGAATAAGCAATTACATTTTTAAAGGGTAAGTGATAGACTTAAAAATTGAATTACTTTTAATAGCAAGGGAATAATAATAATATTGAGAAGAATAACTGCTAATAGTCATGGACTATTTCATCTGTGAAATGCTGAGCAGCAGTGTATGTGAAGCATTACTGTCCTTAACAAATCACAACAGTGATAGCAAACTGGAGCCTCCTTCCAAGGCTGGCAACACACTTCACCCTCTTTCAAAACTGCAGCAAATAATTCCTCCAGTTTAAGGGGATCAAAACCTACAGGTTACTTAATGGCTAAGGGGTTACTAGGGTGCTCCTTTGAGGTTCCATTCTCTCTAGAACATAAACTACAGACAGATTCAGCATCAACAGGGACAAGAGTTACAAATTCAGCCTTGGTGCCTGTCCATTTTTTTGTTTGTTTGCTCCTTCTGTATGATGCAAAGATGCTCACATAGCTGTCACATCTGCTGAATAGCTTCAGTATTTTCAAGGCTGTTGCCAAAACTTCCAGATCTCACAGGCTAAATCTTCACAAGACTAGAAGGTGAATCCATTCCATTTCCTGGCTCCCTACTGTTAACATAATGCAGGCTAAGAGCCAATAATCCAGGGGGGTCATGAAGATTCTTTAAAACAAAAAACAAAACAAAACAAAAACAAAACAAAACAAAGCCAAACCAAGTGCTTTTAAGTGTGTATGAAAATTTATGTAAGAAAGTTTGATTTGCTTTTGAGACCAGCAGGATATCAAAAGTAACAGCTGACATGCAAGTGGCAAGCCCTGCAAAAAAGACACATTTGAAAGTCCTGCCAACGTGGGTGGGAAAAATTTGCACAAAAGCAGGAGCATAATCAAAACTTTGTATTGAGTGTACTGTAGGAGGCAGGCACATAAGGAGGTCAGCTGTAAATATATGAAGCAAGAAAAAAGTTGTCCAACTGAATTATAGAAAAAAATTGCTAGGCTGCCCTTTTTCAAATTAAATTAAAATGCATCAATAGAGATAGGAAGATAAAGCACACCTCCCAGATGACCCTAACTCTAACTTATCAGTCTTTGTGCTACACATACTTTAGAAGGCTGAAGCATGGAACAATGTTTGTCTGCTCTAGCATTAGATAAGGAGGTTGGTGGCCCTGCATGCGAGAGTGGAGTTGGAGCTTGATCATCCTTGAGGTTGCTTCCAACCCAAGCCACTCTATGATTCTATGATTTGTCATGTCTTACACTAGTTTTCATACAAATAAAATGTGCCTACATTTCTCTCCTAGAGAAAACACTATGTATACCACTGAACAAATTCAAGTGCTGCCACTAGGTAGCCCAATTCCTAATAAAAGGAATTATGTTTCAGTGGAATGTCTGCTGAATGGTTATCCAAACGCTTTCAATATTTTAACTATATTAAAACCAATATCACTGACTTTTTAAATTACAGTATAAGTTACAGTAACTTAATATTTATAGATACAAGATGTTAGATGTCCTGCAAACCACTGACTAGAAACTTATCAGTTTGCTAACAATGGGCTGTAAACAATCAAAAACAGCAGCTACAGAGAGCCTAGCCTCACTCCCCATTGCTCACTAACTGCTACTAGCCAGTCATTCTGTTTTTTCACCCTGCAACTGCTCTTCATGGTGAGCACTGATGGGATGAGGCAGATGTCACTGAACCTGTGGGGAAAGTAGGCTACAGTTGGTCTTCAGAGCTGGCAATGAGCCAGCTTGTGACTAGCTGTGAAGAGAGTTCAAGACAATCCATTATCATTTATGAAACAAAGTAAAATACTGAGAGGGGACTCACAGCCCTTGGTCTCTGAAGGGAAAACACTGAGAGAGGAATCCGCTATAGTTGTGCCATGATGGCTTTTTAGAAATGCACTTGGCTTTGGTCTGCAGAAAGATAGAACCAACTCTGTTGAGAGAGAAGCACAGAGCGAGAGGCTGGAGCATCCCTTCAGGGTGGCCGCAGCAGCTGTGCTGAGGGGCACATCTGGCTGGAGTGCACAGCGAGGTGGGGCCTCCGGGGAGCTTGGCCTGATGGCTCAGTGCAAGGCAGCGCTTTGGAGAGCTGCCTATCGTCTATGTGATTACTAACATGCTAAGTCAGCTCATAATTAATACAAAAGTTCTTCATCTCACACAAAAATGCCAGAGCTTCCATTCAGATAAGACGCCCCTGCATCCACATGACTTAAGAGATGTAAGTATGTAACCATGGATTTTTAAAAATCTAGGCACCTAAATCAACTGACACGGTATACAAAAATCAATGGAAGTTAGACATAGCTATAAAAATTGGACCCAGACTTCCCAGGTGTATTTATTTAGGTTGTATGGGGATAGGTGGGCAGGGTTTGATGGCAGGCACTTACACTGCCCAGCCTGGGGCTCAGCAATGCTCACAGCAAGGGAAGATCAGCCCCTGGCACAAGTCCACTCCCCAGCAAAGGAACCAGCCCTCTTACAGCCAGCGAGGGTGTCTATGCCACACTACAGCCTTCTGTGAAGATAAAACCCTTAGCAGATCAGTCTTGGTGTGTATTGATCCCATATAAAAGTCACTATTGTTGAGATTATAGTAATCCTCTGTTTAGTTCCCTGATTAGTATTTTATCTTTTCAAGCAGGAACAATAATTTTAAACAGTATTTCATGCACTTTCTATCACAAAGATTAGTAGTCGATGCTTACCTACATTAATGCTGTACTAATAATGGAAATTACAGTATGATCTCTAAACACAAATGCTAAATGCTGGTGAGCATTTCTACTTGAGTATATGGAAGGGATGAGGATGTGGGCAGATGCACTACAAACATCTACATACACTCTGACTGTGGGAAACAAGTTTAGAAAAAAAAAAAAAGATGAGGATTCACAGAAAGCACAGAGTTATCACCTTGAATCATACTGGGGAAGTGGAGAGGAATAGCTGCAAAATAATTTAAAAGCAAATGGGAAAAATTAATATAAGATAATTAGAGGCAAGCAACAGAAAATATCAATAATAAGCGCAAAGGAAAAGTATCAATCAGAAAAAAAATAACAAAAGTAACATGTTTGAAGTTCAGCTTTAAAAATGATTTGGCTTTTGCTTCGCATATCACAAACCATGACATAAAATACACCACTCATGAAAAAGAACAAACTATCTGAAGGGAAGTTTTCATTTCACTGGTCAGCACAAATCTGTAACTGCTCTGAGAAACACAGAAGTTCATGGAATAGTGAAAAGCATGTGAGATTTACTCAGGTCAACAGAGAATTTACTTCAAAAGAACTTCTTTGATTCCCAAAACAAGTTTCACTGTGTGATATAAAATCAGGTATTGTGCTTTTCTATAGTCGTTTATTTTCCAAAGTATAGCTTATAAAATATGTATGGCAGAATATCTGAAGGGAATATCAACCTTTGCCATTCATGACACTGCTTTCAAAAATAAATTCTCTCTCTAAAAAGGTTGGAATAATTAACTTGAATATGACACTTTGCAAGACTGGATCACGCATTTTTGAGTTTCTCAGTTAGGGAGAGAGTAACACATTCATTTCTTTCTTTGGGCTCAGGAAATCAAGGAGTTTAAAAGAGCAATAAGAAGAGAGCACAGCCACAATTTGACTGGGAGGTCACAAGAAGGCTCACATCTGAGAGCTGGAGGTCACCATGGTGAAGTGGATCTACCCTTTCAGAAGCTTCACAATTCACAGCATATTTTAATGTCTTATTTACAATGGACTCTGTTCAAAACATGCTGGCAGAACAATTTACCTGCACCCAGAAAGAAAAACATTGAATACTGTCTTGGCTTAAAGAAAGGAAAAACCAGAAGAGTCAAAATTACTGCAAGCACTTCCTTCTCTCTTCCCCTTTCACTGATACATTGCTGGATACATACAACCTGCTGCCCCAAATTCTCCTTCTGCCTGAGTTTAGAAATGGGAAGAAACATCGATGCTCTCTTCCGGCAGCAGGTGCAAGGGGAAAGGAGCTAGCTGAGGCAGCAGGCTGCAGAAGGGTGGCCCCACTATGGCATGCTGCAGGCTCAGGAGAATGAGGAATGTGGAGGGCAGTGAGGTCAGGCTTCAGCCACAGGGTGACCCCGACCCCGAGGGCTGCTGGCAGCTGGGGAGCCAGCTGTCACATTTCTGCCTGCGGGCACAGAACAAGCAGGGACCAGGTGAGGGGACTAAGCAGGAAAGGAGTGGATTTTCAGAAAAGAGAACTCATTTTTTTAATGCCTCCCAGAAATGCCAAGGTACTGGAAGATGCAAGATGAACATCTGGCGGTTACCCCTAGATGAAGATAATGAGGACAATCAAACAGTATCATACTATCATTGGAGATCACGATAGAAAACAAGAAAAAAGGTGGTTTTTTTTTTTGTTTTTTTTTGTTTGTTTGTTTTTTGGTTTTTGGTTTTTTTTTACTAAGAAAGGAACTGAGTCTCAGTATCATTTCAGGTGGACTTTATCCATAAAATGTAACAGGCTAGAAAAGCCACACCTGGTGGCAGTGGTTCGGTGTTTGGATTCTCTCCCTTACCATCTCCTTTCTCCTCTGCAGCCCCATAGTTTTCTGCACAGCTGCAGGTCTGCAGGCCTTCCCCTCCAAACAGCAGTCTTAGCTGCAGGCATTAGCGGGGACTCTCAAACAGTTAATGCAAAAGATCCCATGTCCACAGACTGTATGTTTTGAAGGGCTGGAAGCATTAAAGAGCACATTGAACAAAGTGGTTCTAGACGACCAGCAGAAGGCAAACATCAGCTCTATTCTGTACCAGGAAGAAGAAGAGCCAGAAAATTTTAGGCCATCATTCTAACATCGATTACTGCAAATATTCAGGAGTAAATTATCCAACAATCAATTTATGGGGACAATGACAACCAACGTATAGGAATAATACAGCGATTAGAACTCAACTACCATCAACAATTCTCAAAACAAGAATAAGCCAAAATATTTACTGAAGAGTAACATACATCAAATTGAATCAACTACCTTCTTTTACAGGGCAACTTATCCAGTGGATGCATGGAAATTCTGTATTTGTACTCCAGTAAGCATGTGAGGCACAGTACATATAAGTGCACAAACACTTAACAAACAGCCTCAGAAGAGCGACTCTTTGTGTTTTCCTGCCAAACTGAAAGGAAAATTCAAGTGGGGATTTCACTGCACTGTCCTGGGCCAGGCCAGGCACCAAGCTAGTGTCTTCATTCATGATTTGAGCACTGGACAGAAAGGTCTGAATAACACTTTGGAAAAGAGGAGCAAAATTAAAAGCTATCTTGCTAAAATGGGTTCTGATACCAGCAATCTAAAATACAGTAAAGGTAAGTACAAATAGAAGAAACCAAACACATAAGCACAAAACATAGTAAAAAATACCTAGATTGCAGAACTTCAGAAAGAAACTAAGAAATGCGTGCAGGTCAAACATGTCTACTAACAGAAGCTGCAATTACCAAAACAATAAGTGTCACTGTGGGATTCCTTAGGACTAGCTGTGCCATGTGTCAGACACAGAAGTAGCAATCCTACCCTATTCAGTACTGATGATGTCTCCTCTTTGGGAGCCTGATGCCCAAACTGGTTTAGAAACAATCAATCATCAAAAAGAGAGAGGCAGGGGATGCCTGCAAGAATCCCGTGGTGTGCAGGAAGCACCACCTAGCAAGACCTGAGATATTACAGTTTACAAAAGAGAAGAGAATGCTCCATTTTTTTCCATTTTATGTTCCACAACATAAAATATTGTAAAGAGACTACTAAGATACCGTACTCCACAAATACCAGTGATAAGACAAGAAATAGGCTTAACTGGCAAAGAGACTTTGAATATCAAGGAAAGAAATATTGTAACAGACAGTGAGACAAAGAAGCTAGAAGACCATAGATCTTAAGTGGCGATGAAGAAACTGATCATATTTCAGGAATAGGTTGCTTACATTTTATCCTGCCATAAAACAAATGGGTGGCCTGCGAGCTCTCTGAGGTCCCATGGAAGGTCATATCCTTCCGTGCTTCCAGGCTTCAACTTTTCATTATGAAGCTACTGATATTTCAATTCTAGCACTGAACATACGCAGTGTTTTAGTAAATCAAGACCTCGAACCCCACCAATGCATAGTTCCATTCAGCTCAAGCAGGTGTTTATGCTTATTGTGGGCCTGTGGCTTTAGGTCTGTGGGACTTATTGTTACCTTGGAACTGAAATTGTTTGGTTTGTGCTGGAGACATTTTCATTATAAGAATGTAATTAGTCACAAAGTGGGGAAGTAGATTAAAAAGATATGAAACTTTATGCCCTGATCCTGAAAATTATACAATCAAGATTTATAGAGGACAATCTTATATGCAATATTATATTCAGCTACATATTTATTTGTAAATTTTTATAACGTGCATTCCAAAATTACTCCTGTTGCATTTAATCAGGTTTGTGTGCTACTGCCAAGAAGCACTGTCAGCACAGTAATGATTCTTGTATAAATGACTGAAGTCAAACCATGTATTTTGGAGAACAGACAGGAGTATAGAGACATACATAAAACATGAAATTAAAGCCCCTCATTCTTCCTGTAAGAAAGAACAAAAGGCATTAATGCTATGACTTCATGCTTCAAATAATTTAATATAATTCAAACAAAATCACCTTACAACATTTGAAAGCATAAGCAACAGAAAAAGCAAAACATGACTATTAAAGAGAAGCCTGTGGGATTACCACGTTTTTGGCATTCAGAAAATAAATGCAGATGCGAAGTTCTGGTTTGATAAGCAACAATTTAGCCTGACTCCTGTTATTAAGCACCCACGTTGAAGCCAGTGTGAATTTTGCCACTGGCTTCAACTGGAGCAAGAACAGGCATGTCATCAGCCATCACAGAACACCATATTCTTCATCTAATACATTTCCACATTTAAACATACAGGAAATCTGCTAAATGACCTACCCAGAATGGATGGGACTTGAAACAAGGTTAACATTGTCCAAGGTGTCTGCAGCCCAGCTGTAGTGTCTGAGAGAATCAGAATCAAACTCCCTCTGAAACGTCAGGTGCTTAAAAAGCAAACAAACAAAAAAACAAACGTAAGATGTAAAACACTTGTCTTAAATACAAGCTTATTAATATAATTCCCTTACATTTAGATCCGTCCCCTTTCCTATAGCCAGTATCCTAGGTGCTAAATTACTAGAAATTCCTGAATAGAAATATGGAACCCAGAGAGAAATTTATCTCATGTCTTCAAACTTCTTTTCAAAATTTCTTTTGCTAGCTCTCACCGGTTCCTTCAGTTACACGTACACCTCTCTTCAATCTGTATTTACACACACAAAGTTAAAGACGACTGAAAAAATACTACAGATTGTACTACAATCATATGCTATATAAACAGGCAGCATATTATTCCCACACAGAAAATGCCACTGCCCAGATCCTTACTCGAGCACAACTTCTATCCGTACAATCAACACGGGCACTATCCTGGAGTGCCACCATCCCTACTCATCTGTATAAAAATAGTTATAACCCTGTGTAGCCCTGGCACACCAGTGCTCTAATTAAACTGTCTCATCTGACCGACACTGAAGCTTAGTTTGGTTCTGACTACTGCCTGTAGACATGAGTGCACGCAGGCTTCGCATGTCCTGCAACAATGTCTCACTCTGTAAATCTTCTGTACAGCAAAGCCATTTGTGGCAAATATATATATATATTTTTGTCTTCTTTTTGTCACCCTCCCCCCCCCCCTTATTTTTTTCCCCTAGGAAATTAAATAAATCACATCTGTAAGTACTGTTAGATTATATTTCCAGGGCAATATGAAACCATTTATGCAACCACCATTAGAAGTTACACAAATAAAACTAAGTCAAGATACTGCCATGCAACACACAGACCATCCTCCACCAAGATGGTGTTACAAACATCAGTGTATCCTCCAGGCAGGTTGTTTTCTGATGACAGATAACCACAGGCTGATTTCTCCACTTTCTTTCTCAATACTGTGAAGACTAAAACCCCATGGGCCGTTTTCAAATTAAATTCCATGACTACCACTCAAACCTGAGCCAAACACAAACGCACACCTCTGCAGAGAGGAGTTTTGTAACTTTCACTTTTTAAAATTTTTGTTAATGTACTGGCATACGGAGGTATTGTAAACGTATTAGTTTGAATGGAAATGCCAGCATTAGTAGTAAATCTATAAAGCCAGTCATAAAAATCCTGAGATACTTCTGTTCAGAAGCTTCCGCAAGAAAAGCAAACAGACACTGATCTGTTGTTGGTCAGAACCTGCAACGTTCCTGTTACTTCTTGGAGACCTCATTGGGGCCTTCCAATATTTGAAGGGAGCATACAAATAGGAGGGGGAACAACTGTTTACGAGAGTGGGTGGATAGTGATAGGACAAGGGGGAATGGTTTTAAACTGAGCCAGGGGAGGTTTAGGTTAGATATTAGGAGGAAGTTTTCCCATACAGAGAGTGGTGACACGCTGGAATAGGTTGCCCAAGGAGATTGCAGATGCCCCATGCCTGGAGGCATTCAAGGCCAGGCTGGATGCAGCTCCGGGCAGACAGGTCTGGTGGTTGGCAACCCTGCCTGTGTCAAGGAGGTTGAAACTAGATGATCATTGTGGTCCTTTTCAATCCAGGCCATTCTATGATTCTATGATACTCTGGGGTTTGATACTCTTTGGACATTTCTTGCAATTAAATAAGCACCCCAGGCTTACTCCCACAACTGACAAGATTATAATTTACTGCTAATTAGTAGCAATATCTGCAGGGGACAGCTTCACTTTATCATCTGTCCAACACTATAGCACATGTTTTCAATGCCTCCTTCTTTTGCTACCTTAAGCTCTTTTATTAGGATCTTCTACCAGTCTTTGTACTGTGAGATATGCACTTGAGGCCTGATGGTTCAATCACAGACAACGGTAACAGGCAAACACACTGCTAAGTGTGGCACACATTGACCACAAAATACACCAAGAGATGTAACAGATAAAAATTAATGCCATTTAAAAACAATGGTGATTAAACAACGGCACTGAATTTAATTAGCACTACTTTGAAAAATGTGTTATAATTCAGTTTAATGAAGACAGTTTTATAACTCCTTCCAGTAGAATACATGGGACTCTTCCACATGCCTTTAAGAGCCTATGGTTTAGACACAAAAACTGCCACTGTGGATTTCTGTTGTTCCAAGTCACCTAATTTTGTAAGAGCTCATACCAAATACACAATTACTTTCTGACTCCAGAGATGTTGGGATCTGGATGTGGTATCAGAAATTGTAAATATTTAGATAAACAAAAATAAAAAATAGCCCACCACATAGATTTTGTAAGACATGCATTAAAAAGGAGGAAAAAACAATTTAGTGTTTGTCATTCAGATGTCCATTGAGCTATAACTGTCCCTGCACTGAGGTCCAGGCATGCAAAAACATACAGAAAACACAGGATTGCATTTGCTGTAACAGATGAAAAATGTCAAAGGTTCACGAGCACTGTAGGGCCATATGATTTTCAAAGAAATACCACCTCTCTAAAACAATCTAATCTAGATAGAGATGCTGCTATCCTCACGTAAGTTGCCATAAGTTTACTTGCATGTACACACAGGGCTCTTTGCTGTACTCCTACAGGGTCTGTACATGAGGTGAACTTCTTTGGTGCATTCCTTTCCGACAGAGTGCATTCGAGTAAATCTTTGGGGCATATTTACAGCCAGCAAAAGCACAAAAACTGCAGCCAATAATTTTGGCAGAGAAACAGACTAATAAAAGCTAATGGCTGGACAAACACATCTTACACACAGCACACATCTGCTGATCTCATTCCGTTGACCTGCTGAGGTGTTGGATTTTCCAGGCAGGCAAAGAAATCTCCCAGTGCAAGCTGCAGTATGTATGAGCAGTCCAGAAGACAGTACATCATCTGTGATACCGAACTGCAAGATTTGTCCCGGGTTTGGTCAGGGCAAAGCATTCCCTACTTGGACTGAGGGAGATTAAATATGCATTGATAGGGGGTGTGTTGTTGTCAGATGCAAACGCGTGTACTAAAATGCTGACAGTTCTGTTGTCAAGGATCCTGCTGGTTGCATAACCAAATATCCAGGCTGTGTAATATCACAGTTCAGCAAATGGAAGAATTTATGCTTCCTCCCAGATGAATTTATCCAGACAGAAGAGATTCAGCAAGCTGCTATGCAATGTACAGCCTGATTCATCGTGCCTGTGGCTGATGTAAATTATTCCATGGAGAATGTTGCTCAGATTTGGTCTGAGTTACAGTATCCATGGTAACGCACTAGGACACACAAATTTTAACTTTACTCTAGCCAGGTTATGAGGCACAGTATGGCCTGGACTCAGCTTTCCCTGTTGAAAAGAATCAGCAATAAAGAACCAAGTTCAAACAACGAAGATTGTCTTGACTTCTTTGGCAGTTCTTAGAAAATCCTCTCAAACACCCAACCCCTCATGATAGCAGCCAATATCAGCAAAAAACAGTCTTAAATCTTCCTCACGTGACCCTTTTTAGACTTCCAAGTCTCCCAGTGGTCTGGTGAAGAAGCGGTCATGGGATCTTCTGATGCCACCTTAGCAGCAATTTGACAGTTGTCCATCTTTAACATCCTTTTATTTCTGGTAATATTAATTCCCTTTATCCTGAGAGCTGCTGTAATTAACTGTACATGCTTTACAACAGAAGAGAAGCCATTTATACAAATAAGTAATGGCTTGTTACTTCTTCTAAGCTATGTAATACCCCTCATACCCCGTATGAGCTTCCAGCTGGTCTTTTAAGATAAGGTTTCGACCCACTGTGAACTTTGTTCCTATGACTTTCATAGATGCAACATGATTCTTCTTCTTCCTTTTCACTGTGAAAGCAGAGATTACTTGGAAACCCAGTAATGTGCAAAAGGAGGGATGGGAAGAACAAAGGCAGGAGTATTCTCCCTCTCCCAGATGCACTCTTCCCACTTCAGCCAAAGCATCATAAATTTTATCCAACTTCCTTTGATATGTTTAGGTTGACAACTTTCTTGAAGAACAAGAAAATTCCCAAGGACAAACTTATTTTTTTGTCAAGACTTCAAGGCTGGCAAAAGCCATAGCATAAAAAATGTTAACAGTGTCCCCTTTCTCAAGAAGATAATTCATTGTTTTATTGTTGTTTGTTTTCAGGGGAATCGTTTTACAAACCTCTTGAAAAAGCTTAGAACTAGGAATGACATTGTTCTCACCATTACCTTCACCATTTCTTGCTCTCTTGGATACAAGAAACTTGAAGTTTGTCTAAAAAATTAAGACTAACATAATATGCAAAATTAGACTGTTAAGACAGGCATCCAGTCTGACTTCATTTTGTATGACAGATTTGGACCGGAGTTGAAGTGCAATAATTGCACAACCGCTGCTGGACAAAAACTAGAATTACAAAAATATGAAGATTAAAAATGCAAAGAAAACAGCCTGATCTCTACTGCTCAGCATTAATACTTTTAAGTGAAGAGGCACCATTGCAAGCAATTCTCCAGAAAGAATGGAGGTCCATAGCCATTTGTACAGAATGTGACATTTGCTCTAAGTTGAGCTACTGTATGCAATGGGGTGTTGCTGCAACCTCTCCATGCACAGAGAAGTCACTTTTCATTGTCAAGTTGTGTTTTGTAATAAAAGCAGGTTAACAATACACACTTTGAACAATGTTCTTTAGGAGTTATTTAGCACAGTGTTTCTTGTAGGTCTTGTTATTTGATCAAATGCATCATAGCTGCCATCAACTTTTATGATAATCCCGAAAACAACCAGAATCCTAAAACAAAATGTGTTCTCAGACTGGAGGGAAGGCTTCCCTCTCCTATGTTATGTCTATCACATCAGGAAGATTTAATGAAGGCTTAGGAGAAAGAATTATCAAAGGAATTTTAGGTTCTCAGACCTGAAGTACTATTACTGAGCTGGCTGTTATTGATCAAGGTTATTGAAGGCTTACGGCACTTCATTTGGAAGTAACGATCTAATAATACACAAAGGCTAATGCCTCCTATTGTATTATGTTGGCCCACGACATCAGAGCAGATGTTGGTGGGATGGTAGTAGAGGCTGAACCTTCCCACCAATATTCTGTCACATTTTGTTGCTGTGTGACAGATGGCAGCAGAGAAACAGTCATTTGACATCAAAGCATGTATGTGGTGAGCGGTGCATTTCAGCAGTGGTGACAGCAGTGTGAAAGACAAGCCATATTCCAGATGACCATGCACAGCTGCCACATCACAAAATGAAGAGTGTCTCAGTCACCTCATGTGCACAGATCAGTGGATTACAACCAATGAGCTGCACACAGAGCTGCATATCACCTTCAACGCATTGGAAACGATGGTGGCAAAGCTGGAATATTGCAAAGCTTTTGTCAGGTGAGTCCCATGAATGTGAACAGAAAGAACAGCATATGCAAGTTTTTCAGGACTTAGTCAACCAATACAAGTCTAAAGAGGGCAGCTGCCTGGACCACATCATTAACAGTGACAAGATGCAACGTCACCACTACAAGCCATACTCAAAACAGCAATCCATGGACTGGCAACAAGTGAATTCCCCATTGAAGAAAAGTTCAAGATGCAGCCCTCAGCGAGTAATGTTCACTGTCTTCTGCAATAGGAAAGAAATGATCCCTCTGGATGGATTTCCTGGAATCTGGACAAACCATCAACTCTGACCGCTACACTGCAATACTAAGGCTGAGGGCTTGAACTTTCAGAGTCAGGCCAGAAAAAAAGACAACCTTTCTCTTGCAACAAGAGAATGCCAGGCCTCATCCCAGTTTGAAGACCGTGGAGCATATTGCCAATCTTGGCTAGACTATTCCATCAGACCCACCAAATAGTTCAGATTTGGTACCTTCTGAGTTTCATCTACTTGGGTTCCATGAAAGATGGGCTGCATGGGCAATATTTTAGCAATGATGTCACCACAGCAACTGTGAAACAGTGGCTCACCTCCACTGGTGCAGATTTTTATGAGCGCAGCACGCATGCTCTTGCTCATCACTGGCAAATATGCATAGCTAATGGTGGTAACTACGTTGAAAAACAGTGTTTTGTAGCTGAGAATTTGCTCTATCAAATGAAAAACTGCTCTATCAAATAGTGTTATTGTGCTCTTTGTGGCTGTTGTAGGTTCCACGGAAATAAATAGGAGGCAGTACTTTTGGAGTGACTTATGTACATTTACCTGCTAAAGAGAGTAGAATTTATACCATGGCCAGAATACTAACAAAACTGTGTGCTGTAGTAGAACTGGACAATTTACACTACACTGGAACTAATACAAAAAAGATTTAAAAAGCTGGAGTCTCACCCCATGGACCCTTTCCCCTGTGAAAGTATTCTATCTATAAAACCCTGTGCAGGAATACTTGCCACTGCTGAATGGAACCCCCGCAAAATTGATAGCAGAAAATCTGTTTTCCGTTACAATCCATCTAATGCTTCTCTAGGACATAACAGTTCCACTCCACAGTTCTTTAACTCCTAAGTAAAAACTTTTCTGTGGGTTTTATCCAGCTTCCTAGCAGATCTCTGGCTTCTGTGATGAAGAAACTCATGAGTAACTTAACTGGATTTAAAAGTCACAAGCAAGTCCACCAAAAGCTAAGGAGCTCACAAAACAAAGCATATAGCACCCTATCACCTCCAGCATTAGCTTTTCAAAATACTTTCCCACGCTGTAATCAGGTCAAAAGATTCTGTGTTTCTTTTATTAGTCATTGCAAAAATGTTTGGAAGAGACACGAACTGGTTAGTGGATAATAGCTCAATCATTACAAGGCCAAATTTTTCCCAAGGGTGGAAAAACAAGGACAGTGGTTGGAGTCTTCTCCATATGGGCAGAATTGGCAAGACCCAATTCCTGGTCTCTACGGTGCAGACAACGGTTGTTTAGTGTAAAATACATTGCTCTCAGCTTAACAAAGCACTGAAAATACACGTAACATTAATCTCACAGATACTCTCACCAACACAAAATCAAAGCCACAATATGGCAAACCCATGATTTCTTTCTTGCAGCTCTTCTCCTTTTTCAACAGTCAAGAGTAGTCATAGTCACTGCAAGCACAACTGAGGGCTGCAGATTATCATCCCCTACAACCACAGAGCACAAAGACCTGGCACCAGAGAGGCAGCACATACCTGATCCTTTGCTGGTACCAGCAGCTCTTCGATCATCATGCTGTCTCGGGCATAAGAACTTCTGTTCAGCGTGTAGGACCTATCCGAACTGAAGGAGCGGAGGCTGTTGTATTTACCATTTATCATAGAAAGTGCAGATGACAATGAGATGAACAAAAAATAAAAATAAATTAATACATGCAACTTCCAGGGATAGATGGAAAAATATACATACTATATGAAATAAATACAAGGGAAAAATGGAGTAGTAAGTACTTAACTTTTTAAATAACTATTTAAATATTTACTTGCCTAAAATATACATAAACAAACTCAAACAGATGTTTACTGCTTTGGTAGCAATGCTATGGCTTAAGAATAAATCCAGAAAAGTGTATTTGAGTATTTAGATGAATTTTTGCAAATGCCTTCAAGCCCTAATCCTGCAACAAGACACATAAGGGCAGGTCCTAGTGGATCTGTGGGTAGTTTATAGTGCCTGCCCACATTGCTGAGTCAGGTCCAACTAAATGCAAGTTTTATGTGGTGGTGTTCTCTCTTTGTGGCTGAACCACTTTGACTTTGTTGTAAACACCCTAGTTGGTCACTTAGGAGAAGAAAAAAAAAGAGAATTTTGAAATAAATTAAAAAATTATTTCTTAATTATTAAATACGGATTCCAATACTTGGGGGATTGTTTTGTGCACGTTAGATTATTCAGAAATTAATGATTGCTCTGAATGTGTTGCAATTAAATCAATGTTGAAGCGTGTTACACTTAGCCCTGGAAGATACATTATGGTATGTGCTAAAAACATGCTGCAGGCCTAGACATGCTCACTACGTGACAAAAAATAAAGTAGTATAAAACGTGAATTAATAAAAAGCAACATCCAACAACATGTTACACCTTTAAACTAGCAACACTGTTCAGACTCAAAACTCTACAACTCATTTCATGCACTTGGTAGTAGTTAATAGAACTTTTCTAGTCCTTGGCAAACATTTTTCCTTGTGCTGGAAGCAGAACCAGGATTTTTATTACATTCTCTAGGCATACATTAAGCAAACTCTCACATGACAAAGGGTATAATGAAATCAAGTTACATTTGTTAGAACAACAAACGGATATTCTCTAAGGCTGAGCAAACTCTTCCCACCCTCTATCCCCTGCCCCAAAAGAAAAGCATGTCATTTTCTAATGCTGAATAAAATGAAGATGAGCAATGGCAGCAGCAGGAGGATGTAACACGATGCCATGCCTTCTTACCTGACTTTAGGACTAAAGCAATTTACAGTGGAAAAGAAACAGGAGAAATAGAAAGCAAAGAATCAGACGGGAAAAGCAAGATGTTATGGCTTGGATGGCTTATATATTTAATGTGTTTATTTCTTAATGTTACACTCAGAATCAGTAGTAAGGTATACTCTCAGAATACTTTTCACCAAACAAAAAAAACACTGTTGTTTATGTCCTCTGAGCATAACATGTGTGCAATGTAAAACATGAGTTACGCAGCAACAAATAATAATGGCACTGCTAAAATCAGAAGCATGGAAATATTAGGTTTCTCTCAAAGAAAACTCTCAGGTTTATCTAACAGACTTTGACCGTGAAATTCTGCTCTCCCATTTGCAGAGTGAGAATTTAGACCTCTGCATGAAGAGCAGCATAACGAGGAGGTGTCCTGTAAAGCAGAGCACCCAGCTCTTTACGCTGGCCTCACACTCTCCTCTATCCCTTACAAACTGACCACATCATATAGTGCTGTCTGATGACCTTGTTCATGCCAGCTCATGTTTAAAAGCAGCACATCAGCTTTGCTAATTAACTGTACTAAGACATCAGATTCTCCCTTCTGTTCTAGTTGATGAACATTTAAAGGCATTTTGGCATTCTCTGTGAATGTATTATCACAAAAATTCTTATTAACTTACCTAAAAATTGGAAGTGAAGCAAAACATGGCTGGGTATTACTAAAGAGCAAATTTGCAAGGCATGCTTGCATTTCTAATGCAACCATAACAAACAAGATTTGAGGAGCAGACATCGAGGCTTTACCTTATGGGAGTTGCCATTCACTGTTAGACAATGAACTCACTTTTTAAAACAGATCTTTAAACTACAGTACAGGAAAAAGTCCTCGGGGCTCCAGCATATGAGGTTTAATTATTAGCTCCGGTACAATCCAACTGTCAGTAAACACACTGCAGATCCACAGCTATGGAATTAATCTGTCTTCACACAGCTTTACTTGTTTTGAGCAATGCACAGTGCAGGCTTTAGCAAGATTTAAAGAAGAAACCTACAACGTTGATCTACAAACACATGAGTTTGAATCAACAGTAGTCAGACGTTATGTTAACTCTACAATGTTTTATCCGGTTCAGGGAAACTTTGGCCTGCTTTACGCAACACGACCTGTTTCCAGTCACAAGAAATCTGACATCAGATTTAGGGTTCACCTCACCTTATCTTTCTACGAATTCTTGGACCAACTTTCTTTAATACTGACTATCTGTCTGCTTATTCATTGGCACCCTTAAAGAAATAAAAGCACCAAAACAGCAAAATGATTTAATTCAATTTTTCTGGCATTTACATTCTTTGGCTAAATCGGTCCATCAAGGAATACTCAAACGTAAGCACTAGTCTGAGGGTCAGCAGTGAGAAGAACTCAAATATCAGTGATGGTGCTAGATCAGTTTCTAGACCAGTAGGAAACTCGCAGTGAGGAGAGGCCTGGAAGATGCTCAGAGAACAAGTAGATACCAGAAAAAATGAAGTTAGTTTTCTGTATCACTGCCATAAGAAGCCAACATGAACAAAGATTGTGAAATAAAACAGCAATGAACATATGCTTTAAAGGCACAGTATTACCATAACATGGAAATACACCCCGTCTGCTTCATTTCAAAATAGACTCTAGCTTTGAGTGAAAGAGAGTGCTTGGTTGGTAACAACTTGTAACTGTGGTGACACACAAACACAAGAAACAGCAAATACAATACCTGGCAGAGCGGGCTCCCAGGCTAAAGCCCATGTAGCCTTCAGCAGGCAAAGAATCATCGCCCAACTCTTTTAGATCCTGGGGTCCAAGATATTTGTCCGTGTCACCTGTCATTGCATCCTCACCTGCCAAAAGAAAAGCCAAGCTGAAATCAGCAGCTGCTTGTCTCATAAATGTTTGTGCACTTACTAATTTATAACACCCTCCTTGTGCTTGCCAGCAAGTAAGCAATCCCATCAAGCCTACTTTCCCTAAGGCTCCTCCTGTGCAGACTGTCAATTATCCACCCTCTGAATGGGCCTGAGAAAATAATTTTATTGGGGGCAAATATAAAAGGCAAATCTACACGTTGACATAAAATCAATTTAGTTATACACAGGATGACTTTCGCCCAATTGCTTAAGCAAGCTAAAGGGATCTTCTGTACTTTGAACCATCCCACTCAGTTTTGCTTTTCTTACCAAAAGGCTGAGCTGACAAAGTTGGGTCTCTGACACTAAGAAACCAGCTGTGAAGGCTGCCCACTTGCCCATCGGTATGGAACTGTTCAGGAATGTGAACGGATGCAACTGAAGAGGCCTACCCTTCGCCCTTGGTGTTTCTCAGTAACTTTTCTGAGTTTGAATGCAAGAGGGAACTTCCATTTTTTTGTAATGATGCATTCCCCAGGCCCTGGCTCACGTTGCCCAGGTGAGAGGAGCACTGTACCCAGCCTCTGCCGGGCACAGCAAGACGTCCGTCCGCCCGCGGGAGCAACACAAAGCCTTAACCCAGCAGGCCCTACCAGCACGCCAGCATCAGGCAGCCCACATTCACATAAGCACCGCCACCAGCTGAGCTCAAACCGCCAGACGCCAGGGTACGGGGCATCGGCTGAGAAGCAGATTCGTGTTTTAGAAAAACGGAGGTAAGGAAAGTTAAGTCTTGGGGGAGGAGGGCGGATGCCGCAAAGGGTTAATGGAGCAGCTCTCTCTCCCTGGGAGCATTTGCATACCATTACATCATGCAAAAACTACATTCTTGCACTGACACAGCAAGTCCAAAATATGCCTTCTGCGGTGGAAAGAGGTTTTCCCCGTTCCCTTTACAACACGGAGCAGTGAGCTTCCTGCAACTCGTTATTTGCCTACGCTTGCACTCTCCCTTTGTTGTGAATGCATCTCAGGTGTGTACAATTGCCCAACAGAGAACTTACACAGCGGGTTTACAAAACTCGGGCTCCGCAAGCCCAGTCCGTCCCCAGTCCCATTCACGGCGCTACACGGCTTTCCATTCACTTCGCTCAGGAAACCACCGCGAGCGCAGCTTCAAACCAACAATCGGGTCTAAAAATACCCCTTCGGCCACTGCTCCGCGAACGGCAAACAAACACACCAACTTTCCCCACCAACCCGACAACAACGCTTATTTTAAGCACGAGTTTCTAAGCTAAAGTAGTCAGCGCGTACCACAAAACATTACGAAAAACAAAAACATAAACATAAGCATGAACGTTATAGATTAAATTAAACTTTAAAAGATCTTACTGTTTTGGAAAGCCATTTCCACAGCCTGGTCTATAAGGTTTTTCCCTGGTGTTTCCAAGAATTCCTATTAGTCCTATTAGTCCTTAAGCAGTGATTTAGAGTTAATCTCCAAACCAGCACCAGCAAACTAATCCCTGGGGGTCATATTCGCTTTCCACACAACAACCGAGATCTTCTTAACATCCTGATCTCTTCGTATGTATTTTACGACATGTGCATCTTTGTCCTCTCGATTCGGATCAAACTTCTTTCCAAGTATGAAACAAAACGAAAAGTAATGACTACAGTTTAAAAAAAAAAAAAATCCCTTTTTAATCACTCTGCAGACATCCCTTTAAAGCTTCTGCTGATTGGATTACAGCCTCCCTTGGCAAGCCCCTTGACTGGTGACATAAATGCAGGCACTCGAGCTATTTGTATGTAAATCGGGGTGCTGCGAGGGTGTAGTTTTGCTGTAATTCGATACCGGGGCCGAGCGGGAGCGCGGGGCGGTAGGGAAAGGCGCAGCGCTCCGCCCGCCCTCCCGGGGCCGCCTCCTGCGCCCGGGGCCGCGCCGCTCCGCATGTGTTCGGGGAGCGGCCGCCAGGTGAGAGCTGCTGCATGGAGAGCCTCCGGGGGCCGGGGCGAGAGAGAACTAGAGGCGGCTCCGAGCGGTGATAAACAGAGCGGTAACATTTGGAAGCTCCCGCCCTTCCGACGTGCGGAGACGAACGCTGTGCCGCTGTCACGAAGCTCGAGTCTGCCAGTTGGGCTGCAGAAGGCGTGAGGTGTTAGGGAGCTCTGCAGCCAGGATGGCTCTGATGAAACGCTCATCAAAGGAAAAGCTGCAGCTAGGAGTGGTTGTTTCAAAGGATTCCACACGCTGTGGGGTGATCGTGGGAGGCTCCAGCGGAATGGGTGGTGCGCGGTTCAGCAGTCCCGCTCCGGTTAGTTAGGTACTGCAGCCTAATCCTTCTCCTTTTGGGAAATGAGCATGGAGTGTTGCAGCACGCTGTACTGCTGCACAGATGTCCCACAGACAAAGTGGGACATCAATACTGTTCAGTGTTGAGTGAGGCACTGATTAAAAAACAATGAAAAAAGAGAATACTGCATTGCTTTGTTGCAGTTGCTATCCTTCCTTTCTGCTTTCCTCCACCATCTGCTGTGTTGAAGCAAGGTATTCCTGTAAACAGCGGGGAAACACGGCCATGGGCAGTCTAGGAAACCATTCAAAACCACGGACAAATGACAGCCACAGGTCAAAGCAAAGGTCCATCTGCCCAAGAACATCCTGCTCTGATGGCAGGCAAACTTCACAGAAGAAGTGAAGAAGAGGAAAGGGTGGAAGTCCTCCAGGACATTTCTCTAGCCGGCAGCTAGTGCAAACGCAGATTTTTCTGAGAGAGGTTGGTATTGTCACAAAAGGCTTTTTTTTTTTTTTATCATTCCATTTACATTTGGAACCTGCGTAGACTTCTTGCATTCTCCAAAGCAAGGACGTGTGCAGGGGTCCCACACTGCAAGCAGCTCTTGCACTAAGAGCAGTCCCTTTCACTTAGGCTGAACCTACACCTCGCTGGTCTCACCTGTGCATCCTGTTTGTGGACTTCAGGGGACGCAGCAAGCAGCCCATTCGCCACTCCCTTTGCCACCCACTACCCCACATGTTCTAGCTCATCCCTCAAGATTTTCTTCTGTGATAGATAATCCTGCTCTCTTTACTGTCCTCTTCCCTAGAAGCTTTTCTGTATCTCTGATCACCTTTGTCATCTATTCCAAGGCTTTCCCCATTTTCCTGATTCCTCAGAGCCCGTTCATACAGCTGGGAACTGCAAAACTACAGCGCCTGAGCTCTTTTTAGAGGCCAGGGACAAACATGGCTCACTGGCAGCAGGAGTGAAGGGATCATATGGCTTGTCCCAAGCTACATTTCATTATAGCTTGGGATCCAAACAGACATTTGTCATTGGCTTTGCTTTTGCCACTCCCTCATCACAGCCTGTCCAGAGCTGTCTGGTGGCAGAGCAGGACGCTTCTGGTTTTAGCCAAGGTTTTGGAGAAAAGCCAGGATCAAACCACTGAAACTTTTGCTGATCTGTATAAATGTATCTAGATAGTCTCAGAAAACTCCTGAGTGTAAAAATATAATAAATTCATCCCTCCTAAAATCACTGAAACAGACTGTAATTCCTGAGAATGTCCTGACCTGTCTTAAAGGCTCTCATTTCCGTAACCCAGCACCAGCTCTGGGATCAGGCCGTGTGCCCTCACTTCCTCCTCGGGCACCTGCCTAATCTGCCAGAGATGGATTAGCATGATACTTACTCCTACAGAGAGAGGAATATCCATTAAATGGGTTTAAAACAGTGTCCTTATTTACACCAAAAAAGAGTTACCAACTGAAGACCAAATTAAAAAAAAAAAAATTAAAGCTCAGCACTACATGTGCCTTCTAAATTTTCAACATTTAAACTATTGTTGGGTTTTTGTTTTGGCCATTTCTCTTTTGTGGTAAAGCAGTTTCCCAGCACGTAACCTCATTTGGCCAAGCTTTCCAGAGCACTCTAGGAAAATGAGTCCCTTCTCGTTTGGGGCAACTGCAAACCAAACTCTCCACTGCAGGGAAATTACACCATTTCTGATTAAGTGCTTATTTAGTAGACACAGCAAGCAGCAAATAGAAGGAAGCAGTTTCCTGACACACTTGTCTCTGAGCTCTGAAACTAGTTTCAGCTTCAAGCTTTCAGTTGCTCTTAGGACAGAAACCTTGAGGTTTTCTGAATAATGAGAAATTATGGGGCAAATTTTGCACTGAATGGTTTGGCTGATGACCTGAATATGAAGTAAGGGAGAGCTCAGGTTTGGGACATACATTTGTGTCCATCTCTCATCTGGAAATCTATTCCCTGGCTATGAGATTTGTGATTTCCACCCTGAAGGAACACACTGTCAGCACCCAGCAGTTGCGGGAAAGGGCATCAATATCCTGTCTGCAAGGACGCACAAGGCAGAAGAAAGAGACAGGACAGTGGTTACTGCCTCAAAGCCTGTAATTCCTCACCTTTGCATACTGCAGTGCTCCAGCATGGATTAATAAAATACCTATTATGTGATTTGAGAGTTCCAGTTCAGCAGTAGGCTTTGAAAACAACCTTGTTACATGTAAGCCAGCCTCTTAGCTCTCCTAGTAACAGCATGGTTGCAGAATACACTCTTTAGGTAAGGAATTGATTAGATTACCCCATATCCTTAATATTTATTTTTCCCTGAAATGAGAGTTTGTGACTACAAAAACCTCCCACAGATCTCTCACTTCCCTTCAGTTCTGCATTTGGCCATTAGAAGTGATTCCATACGTGGAGGACACATTTAACATCTTAGATCTAATATTCTGACCCTACACAGGCATTTCTCATCTGCAGCAAACCTCACGCTGTGCCATGGGCTAAGGCAGCTGTTGCTGCTCTATTAACTAACTATTAGGCATCTGCATTCCAGCCAGTTACAACAATGCGGTATTTTGAGCAGTACAATAGCCCAGAAGAGTTACTTGGAAAGCACAGGTGCACAGTAAGAACGTGATCTATTTAAGAATGCAAATATAGGAACACTGACAAACTGAAAACAAAAGCCTCAGTGAATGAACTGAACAAGAGCTGCACACAGTGAGCTCCTCTTGCAGCTTTTACACCATACTGCTTAAGTGCTATAAACATGTAAACACATCACTTGGTGCAAAGAAAGAGGCTGACTACACAGCCACAAGCTAACTGGACCCAGTCACTTCTCTCCCCACTGGAGAAGGAAAATCTGCAGCTCTAATGCAAGTGACCAAATACACACATAAAAGCCCCCAGGGTGCTGCCATCATTCCCTTCCTCAACACAAGACCTTCCTGTCTCTGAGTGTGACATGGGAACGTAATCCCACTGTGGCCTCTGGAAACCTGCAGTTCCTGGTGGGACTCACACAGGCTCCTGCACATCCGCACCACGGAAGGTCTGACCTAGCAGGGGATGTTGGTTTGGAGGAAAGCAGCTACCAAATGAGTTCCAGATACTTAACAGACCACTGAAACTGTGTCAGCCCAGCCAGACACTGAGGAGTGAGCTGTGATGGGCAAGCTGCTGCTGTGAGCAGCTTAAATCTCATCCAGAGGCACTGAGAAGACATGGCTTATTGCCCCACTCATGAACTACACATCACCTTGCAGAATGATACAGAATACAGAAATCCCAGCTACAAGAGTACATCATTAATCCCAAGAAACACAACTTGCTGAGTTCAGCGCAGCATCCCTTTTGCTTAGGACAAAAGTAATCCATTGTGGTTTTGCTGAACATTATGATTAAAATACAGTCTTGTTTTAAACCCTAAAAATATTTCTACACTAGAGTTGACAATCAATATAAATCAATAATTCCATAGCTGAACACACAAAAGATTAAAAACAAAAACGAAAAAAAACACCCATCCTTTTGTCCTTCACTTTTACTATCAGCTATTTCTTTTAAAGTACTTTGATATTTGACCCTTTTGTCTGATATTTTTTAGTTGCAATAATAAACTAATTCTTTACTTTATAGAAGCAGCAGCAAAAGGACCCTTCCAGGAAAAATGGAGGTAATTTCATTTAGAAATTAGTAGTAAGACATTCAGAAAAAAAAAAAAAAAAAAAAAAAAAAAAAGATTATCATTAACAGCTTGAAGAGTTTTTGAAAGCATTCTAAACTGTAAAGCAGAAGTTGTTGTTAGTAGGATGAGAAGAAGATTATCAGAAAGGATTAATTTCCAGTAAGACATAGTAAAAGGAAGAGGCTTAGTTAAATATCACTGCAACACAAAAATGTACAAATACCTTCTTCAACATCTGACAAATATTCAGCATCACTGAGTATTTCAGGGGCATTGGCTTTACGAACTGCATGATTTAAATAAACAAAAGAATTAAATAAAAGCATAGACGTTCAATGAATCAATAAATCAATGTAAAACAATAACGTATGTGCAGAGAGCATATCCAACTAGTACTTTAAAAAAAAGCAAACAAAAAACAAGGCTTCTTACAATAAAAGACTGAAAAATAAGTGAGAAGGTTTCTTATTATTTAATACCTTCATCGTCAGACATATCAAGAACTTCATTCATGGTTTCAGGTACATTCATTTTGTGCTTCTCTGTAACAGTCTGTCAAAGAAAAAAAATCAATTCAGGATGTATTTTTATCTACATTTAGCAAAACTCTTGTTTGGATTCTTTTCAACTTTTTTATTCCCCGGCTTTCCATCGATGAATATAACTACACGCTGAAAAAGACTATACTGAAATAATACAGAAATAAACAATATTACCTTTAAGAAAGTTAAGGGTATTTATAAGAACTCTCTGAAAAGTCATCTAAATTTTAAGCAGGAGAGTGTCATCTATATTTAAACTATACTAACATTCATTCCGAGGGATGTGCTTCTCCTTTTTCAGCAGAAAAATCATAGAATTGTGAAATCTTTAAGGTTGGAAAAGGCCCTTAACATCATCAAATCCAACTATGTTAGAATAAGCTTGCTCTCAAATTACATGTGAAATTTTTCAGAGGTTCCTCTACAAGAATTGTGTTTTTTCCACACGTGAAAACAACTGTAACTACATGCAAGCTAAATAAAACCCATTACAGAATGTGTTTTAACAAAGATGCCGTTGATTTTCATCATTATACTTATGTTGATTCAGGGCCAAGATAAAGATTAAAAAAAAAAAAAAAATTAAAAGCAGAAAAAAGATATCCTGAATGCCTCAAAGCCGCTACTAGAATACCTGTGTATCCCACAAAATACACAGCCATGTACATGGTACTCTCCAGCTTGAACAGAGTGCAGTAAGCACTTTGGTAAAGTTTTAGGTCACACACGAGATGCTCCAGAGATAGAGCTCGTGGAGTGGAGTTCAAAAAATAAGAATCTAAAGTACTCCCAACCCCTCCCCTAAAGCAGGTTCCCTAGGGTAAGTTACACAGAAAAGCATGGAGGTGGGTTTTGAATATCTCTAGAGGAGACTCGACCACCTCTTTGCAGCCTATTCCAGTGCTCTGTTACCCTCACAGTAAAGAACTTTTCCCTTGTGTTCATATGGTACTTTCTATGTTTCAGTTTGTGCCCAGTGCCCCTTGTCCTGTCTCTAGACAACACTGAAAAGAGCCTGGCACCATCCTCTTGACTCCTGTCCTTTAAATATTTATAACCATTGATAAGATACCCTCTTAGTATTCTCCAGAGAGCATATCCATCTCCAGGCTGTATAGTCCTAGGTCTCAGCCTTTCCTCATAAGGGAGATGCTCCAGGCCACTAATAATCTTCATGGCCCTCCGCCTGAGTCTCTCTACGAGATCCCTGTGTCTTCCTTGACCCAAGAAGCACAGAACTGGACACTGCACTCTGGATGTGGCACTCCAGGATACCATTAGTCTTCTCAGCTACAAGAGTGCACCGCTGGCTCATGATCAACCTGCTGTCCACCAGGACACACAAGCCCTGCTCCACCAAGCTCCTTTCTAGCAGGTCATCCCTGAACCTATACTGATGCATACAGTTACTCCTCCCCAGGGACAGGACCCTACACTTGCCCTTGTTTGTGTTTTTAATCACTATCACTTCTCATTCTTCATATACAAATAAGAAATCATTAACAAGATCAGGTCAAAACAGCTTTTCTATCTTCACCTATTTACAAATATTTTGGGTTTTCTCTTGCCTCATAATTACTCATATCACAGTTCACCTTTCTTGAGCTACTGCCATTCCGTTGAAATAGCAGAAGATTGCCTGTATGCTCAAACATCACAAAACCAATAAAAAGCTTCAGAGTTCTTTCATTTCATGGTATTCTCTTTTTAGGTTTTTAACACATTGCTGTTAAGCTAGCAAAATCACAGGATTTTTTCAGTCATAAACAGACTTTCAGTAAAGAATAACAAATCACAGTAAAACTAGCTATGCTCATCCTGGTTTCATTAAACTTACTTCAGGGAGTTATTTAGCCACACGCCCCCAAAAATAGCTATCTGAGTTTTTAAGATACTCAGCTGTAAATCAGATCTCATGTTTAGGTTTCCACAGTCTATCAAGTACACACTTGTGACTGATAAACAGCCTATTTCAGTTTTTGTGGAAATTATTTCTGTGCTTGTCTTCAGCGTAGGTACTCGCAGATTGTAGTACAGGCTGCTCAGCATCTAACATTTCCTCTAAAACAATTCACAGCCTGATCATTAAGTTGAACTAAAAATTGCTCGTCATCTCAACTGTATTGCAACCACCTGCTTGCACTGACAGACCACACAAATGTGTGATGACAAAACATGGAATGTACAATAACTGTTTTCAGTTTCCTATAAGGTTAAAAATGCATACATGCATATGACTCCCCTTTTAAGCGCTAAAAGGCTGCAAAAAGGAAAAAGTCAATTATGAGCTGGTGCTCTGAATTTATGTTCTTAATGCTCTGTTTTTGCTTTACTTCTATGGTTGTTCATGGAGGCTCCGCATTTTACAAGAACAGTCTTCATTAGGCACTTTGCCATAAGATCTTTGAGAAATATCTTGAATTCCGGTAATTGCCAATTTTTGATAGGCATTATCTGACTACTTTCTTTAATCTTCTCTGGCTAACATACAACAGCAAGCCTTCTTGAGAGACAAGACAGATGAGGTGGAGTTCAAGGATATGTCAGCTGGGGTTGCAGACACTCGCTGCATGTATAAGATACTGTTAGCCATCTTTCAGAAGCCACCAGAAAGAAGCTTCTATGAATGTATTTGCCACTACAAATCAGTTTGCATTCGTGTCATTTATGCAATAAGCAAAGTATGCTATATGCTATGAAAAACAGGCCAGCTATGACTAGCCCTTTACAAAATTGGCACCTTTACAGTGCCATTTTCTGCTTGGTTTCTGCCTACATCTGACTTAATATCTACTTTATAGTGCTAAAAGGAGCTAGGTAGAAATTAAACTGAAATCTCAGTAGACATCTAGCTAAACAAAGATGAACATGCTGGCTTAGCAAAAATCCTTCCTTCCACTACTGAAATAAACTGTACTTACAATTGTAGTCATGGTCTCCTCTGTCACCACCTTTAATGTGTCAACAACTGAAATGTAGCCAAGTCGCTTTGCAATGGCGAGGGCAGTATTTCCATTCTAGCAATTGAAAAAATTGTATGAAAAGCTGAATGCTGGAAGCGTACAAATTGCTAGTTAGAGAAAAATGCATAATAATGAAATACACAAATGTTTGCATATTGGTGACTGATATAGATTTTGGGTAGTAGAATATGTAACCATAAGAGTTTAAGTCTACAGAAATTGGATGAAAAAGAAAACATTGTGCAGATGTTTGCTGTTCTGGTTTTGGAAGAGACAATGGAGGACACAGAACACAGAGGCGATTGGAATAGCCTTCCTCTGCTCTTTTCCTCCCCCTCGTCACATTTTTTTTTGTCATTTCCTGTACTCAAACACAGCAGGGACACAATGCTTCATGCAGGGTGGAATGACCGAGACTGAGCGGTGGCTTCTTGGCACTTACCACAGTGAGCTCATTGGGCGCTGCACCGTGCTGGAGCAGAACATTGATGATGTGGGTGTGCCCCTGCTGTGCAGCCTGGTGCAGCGGCGTGTACCCGTTCTGCAGGCACAAGGAAAGGGAAAGACTGTGGTGGACACAGCAAACTTGCTGCCTCCAAAGAAAGAGTGAAGCAGAGGCGGAAAACTCACCTTCGTTTTGGCATTGATTTTTGCAGAATGTTGCAGAAGGAAATTAACAATCTTTATGTTTCCGTAGTGGCAGCCAACATGCAGGGGAGTATATCCCATCTAGAATGGACATAAGAAAATATGAATAGTCCCATGCATCCCATGAGAAAAAATAACAGACATGTAGCAGCAAAAATCCTGTCAAGTTTTATTTCTTCAGTCTATGTGGGGAAAAAAAAAAAACAACAAAACAAACACAGCAACTTTGGAAAAATGCCTCTCACTAATGCCATTTTAAGTTCCATTCTTCATAAACATCTCTGCCTGCCTTGTACTTCGGTAGTCTTCAACATATGCAACACTCATTAACTATTTGCTTTCACCTGCAACACTCAGATCATCAGGTCTCTGAGATGATCCTGTTTTTTTCAATGAATGTGTGTATACTACCCTGCACAGTGAGGTTCACATGTTTGACTGGTGTTCCTACAGTGTGATGACAAACTAGTAGTAGCAACTTACTAAAAAAACTAAGTATGCTGAGGTCTGCCTCAGCTACAGAGCAATTTACAGTCCATCCATTCTGACAGAAATACCCAAAAGATAGATCAAAAACAGTGCAACAGATGCATCAGCTTTGTAAGAAAACACGAGACTACAGAAACTGGAACACTGACTTGTGAGTTAAGGCTTTAAGACAATAAAATCTGATTTTTTTGGTGTCTGGCCTAGTGTACCACAAACTGTAAGAAATTGCATTTCTTGGCAACTGCAAAGAGAAGAAAGTTGAATGTCCCTGCTATTTGGTTTCCATTATTAATAAATAGACTAAAATCATTTGTCAACTTTGAGAGACACCCATCAAATGCTCTAAACAAAACTAAATGACTTCTTATATTAAGTTTATATATCTTGGAAATTTTTCCAAAAAATGTTTAATAGAAGAAGAATATTACCTATCACTTAAAAACTAATAAACAAGAAAAGAAGCTACTTTAAGTGTTAACAACACAATAAAATAAAACAGAGGACCAAAGATTGAACAATTTGGAACTAGATCCAGAAGCCTAAACTTGTGGGCAGAAACACTGAAAGATGTGCTGGTCTTGCACTGACCCATGGATCTAACCAGTGTTCAAAAGCAGAAAAAGGGTCTTCACTTTTCTGCTGAGGAAAAAAATCTACTGCCCAGGAGGCACACAGAGAGTTAAAAGCTGCAGTCTGCCATCCTTCATTTATGCACACACCTCAGTGAGGTGGGGCAAGTTGAGACAACTGGGTCAAAAGCACTGAGGAAGGCAAGTCCAAGGTCTGCCTTGGGCTGGGGTTCAGGAGTCAGCCCTACACTACGCGTTCAAGTTGTGAGGTCAGAGCTACGTTCTCCTATGCAATCTTCTCTAGGGAATCTGCTTTAGCAGGAAGTTTGGACTAGATGATTTCCAAAGAACCCTTCCAACCTCTATGAATCTATGAAAGAAAGAAAACCCCTCAAAAAATTTCCACTGTAGGGAAGTTTCAATTGCCTGTGGGTTTAGATGCACCATTTTTTCATGACACTTTGACTCTGATGCTACTTCACACAAGGTTACCTATTTTCATCCATATCTGTACATGCTAGTAGATGGTAGCTATACCAGTTACTTTAAATTAGGGTGTGTACATTTCTTTCAGTTAATTACATACTGCCATCTAAAGAAATTTCTAGCTCTGACAACCAAGACGAGTTAATGATTGCAAGAAACAGTGACAGATTCAAATTCCACTGTTATCAGCAGAATGAATTTTTCCACTGACTTATATGAACGTTGGATCAGATGCCAAATGACTACAATGAACTTTTCCTCCTGAACAGTTGTGCAGTGGTAAAAGCCCAAATGCTAGTTAAAACAGTCATTGTGACGTGAACGCTGGAACATTGCCTTACAGTCACTGTTAACATAGGGCTGGCCTGAGAGCTTCCAAGCAGTGCCCAGGATCCAAGTGTGGCATGGTTCCCCGTAGAGTAGCTGCAGTCTTGAGACTTCAGTAGAAAGATGAGCACTCTCATACCAAGTACCTTAAACACAGCTTCTGTCACTCCTCTCCAACATTTCAAACAAATTCAGATTAAACAAACTATGAAACAATCAGTTCAAAAGAATGCAGTGAAACCTCCTCATATAAGAAACTTAACTCCCTTCTACCCCCTTCAAAATACAGGCCTATATAAAATCATACATTGTAAGACCAAACTGGAGAGATAAAAGCCAAAGTCAACGGCCACCTTCTGGGAACCCCCTGTTAATAACCCTAAAACATTAAAATCTGGAAAGAGCTGGAGAGCCAGGACAGCTGATCTCAACTCTCGCTTTGAAGTGATTGCTTTAAATACTGGAAGGCCATAATGAGATTGCCTCAAAAGCCTTCTCTTCTCCAGACCGAACAGCCTGTCTTCATAGGAGAGTTGCTCCAGTCCCTGGTCATCTTTGTGATCCTCTTTTGGACCCTCTCCCAAAGCTCAACATCTTTCCTTTGTCGGGGGCACTAGACTGGATATAATACTCCAAATGGGACTTCATGAGCGCAGAGGAGATAGGGACAACAACCTCTCTCTCCCCGCTGGCCACCCCTCTTTTGATGCAGCCCAGGATACTGTTGGTCTTGCAGGCTGCAAGTGCTCACTGCTGGTTTTTTTTTTTGTTGTTTGTTTTTTTTTTAATCTACCAGGACCCTTAAGTCCTCCTCAGCAGGGCTACTCTCAAGGAGATCTTCTCCCAGTCTGGGATATCTGGGATTGCCCCAGATCAAGTGCAAAACCTTGAACTTCACTTTGTTGAACCCCATTAGGTTCACATTGGCCCATCTTTCAAGTTTGTTATGGTCCCTCTGGATGACATCTTTTCCTTCTGCTGTATTAACTGCACCACTCAGCTTGGTCTGCAAGTCACTTTCTGCAAATGTGCTGACGATGCACTTAATGCCATCATCTATATCACTGCTAAAGAGTACCAGTCCCAAAACAGACCCCTGGAGGATTACCACTCATCAATGACCTCCACCTGAACACAGAGCCACAGATCACTACCCTCTGGCTGTGACCTTCCAACCAGTTCCTTATCCACCAAATAGTCCACCATTTAAATCCACGTCTTCAAATTTAGAGACAAGCATGTGGTGGGGGATCATGTCAAAAGCACTGCAAAATCTAGGCAAATGACAGCATTAGCCTTGCCTTTGTACACTGATGCCATCACTTCATTACAGAAGGCCACTAGATTGGTCAGGCACAATCTTCCCTTGGTGGAGCCATGCTGGCTGGTATTGAATCACCTGCTCAACCTTCACGTGCCTTAACATGCCTTCCAGAAGGATCTGTTACATGATCTTGGACATGGACACAGAGACTCAGAGGCTCAACAGCCTATAGTTCCCAGGGTTTTCCTTCCCCCTTTCTTATAAATGGAAGTTATGTTTCTCTTCTTCCAGTCTCCAAGGACTTTGCCTGACAGCCATGACTTCTCAAATATGATGGAGAGCAGCCTGGCAACCGCAGTCAGCACCCTTAGGATCCTGGGATGCATGCTGTCCAGCCCCATGGACTTGTACACATTCAGTCTCGTGAGGTGGTCTCAGAATTGCTCTGCTTGTAGAGTGGGGTAGAGTTGCTCTCCCAGTTCCCTCCAAGAACTGGGAGATCAGGGATCTGGAAAAGGTGCAAATCCCAGCTGCTAGTGAAGACTGAGATAAAGAACTCATTGAGCACCTCAGGCTTTTCTGTATTTGTAGTAGAGAGTTCTCCTTTCACATTTGTCAGAGATGGTATGCTCTCTTTGGCCTATATCTTCTGACCAGTGTACCTATAGAACCCCTTCTTGTTATTAACATCTATCACCAAGTTTAGATCCATCTGCGTCCTGTCTTTCCTAATCCCATCTTTGCATGTCTGGACAGCATTCCTGTATTCTTCCCAGGTGACACATCCTTGTTTCTACTGCCTATACATGCCCTTCTTTTCCTGCAATTTGACCAGCAGGTCCTTGCCAAGACATGCTATTTTCCTGCCTCCTTTCTAATTTTAAGGGATGGAAAGCTCATGTGCTTGCAGGAATACATCCTTAAAGAGTAGCCAGCTTTACTCCACTCCTTTGTCTCTAAGGACAAAGGGATGTGAAGTCTTTATAACATTTTTTTAGTTTTCTGGTAGCAGCTTTGTGTGACCCACGTTGAAAGACTGGAAGGGAATAGTAGTTGCGTGGTTTCATCATACCCGATATCCTCTTCTTGATGCACAAAATGTGGGTCCCTAGCTAGCAGCAAACCTCTCTAGAGAGGTTATCCGGGCATCAGATGAGCACCTCAGTGCTTGTCAGCAAAGAGTCTCCAATTACTAAGAACTTACTACTGGTGCCTTTGTTTAGCAGCACCAGTTGTGACTTGGGTCCTTGGTTGAACCTTTTTAACATGATCACCTCTTCCAGTTCTGAGTCACTATTGATACCTTCTTCTCTCTTCCACAACAGAGCTTGTAATCTATTGGTTAGTGGGACTTCAGAAACTTCAACATCCCAACGTACTCACTGAAAACAGACTTAACTTTTCTGAAACACACTGACTGGCAGATTCTGTGATTACGCAATCAAATTTACTATAACAGCACTGATTCTCATTGCTACTTCCATTCCCTATAGAAATGTATTCAGGAGACTAAAATATTTTGCTTATATATATATATATATATATATATATATAAGCTCTGAAATTACAAACGTTTCTGCAAAGCAGAGTCATATTTACTGGCATAATCTCTATGGGACTTAGTAGATATTCTAATATTAAAGAAGTAGTTTCCAAGAAAAATCACGGGTTTTGTTTAATACAACTCTAAAGCATATCACCTTCTCGCAGTCAGTTGCCATGCTGCTGCTTGTTGTTCTAAAGAATGAGCAGCAATATGGAAGTTAGCAGCTGGGAAAGGCTTATCAAAAGCCACAAGAATAAGTGCCAAAAAAATGAAATCAGAAATATTTAGCTTTTCTATCCTCATGAAACACACAAACACAGAGCACCCCTTATTTCTTTTTGCTCCTCAATTTATTGAAGGAAATTATCACAAGCCTCATGTGTTTGTCAGTGTATTACTT